TATAACTGCAAACCATTCTGCTCTAGTGGATGCTCGAATGGTACCTGTATTGCACCCGAAACTTGTAAATGCGATGCAGGCTGGCAATTGGTTCAACCAAAAGGTAGCACCAAGAAAACATGCCAAGCGATTTGTTCAAAACCTTGCATAAACGGAACATGTGAAGCACCAGAAACGTGTCACTGTGCAAAAGGATATATAAAATCGGATCCGTATACCTGCAAACCATTCTGCTCCAGTGGGTGCCCGCACGGTACCTGTGTCGGCCCTGAGATTTGTAAATGTAATAACGGTTGGGAAATGATTAAATCAGAAGGGTCCGCCAACAAAACCTGCGAACCTATATGTTCAAAGCCCTGCGTAAATGGAATGTGTGTCGCACCTGAGACCTGTAAATGTATAAATGGATATACTAAATCTGGAAACTACAGCTGCGAGCCGGTTTGCTCCAACGGATGTCTACATGGAATCTGTGTAGCGCCTGAAACTTGTAATTGTCGTCCAGGGTGGCATATATCGAATGACAATAAAACTTGTCTCCCAGTTTGTTCCAAGCCTTGTGTAAACGGAACATGTGTTGCGCCAAATACTTGCAAATGCCTGCTGGGTTATAGAGTTTCCGGTAAATTCACGTGTAAGCCCCACTGTAGCGATGGGTGTCCAAATGGAACATGTATAGGTCCTGAAAAGTGTGACTGTAAAGCAGGATGGCAATTGACTAAATTGAATAACTCAAAGATCAGTTCATGTGAACCTAAATGTACTAAGCCTTGTATTAATGGTACATGTGTGGCACCAGAATCTTGCCAGTGTGCAAAAGGATATATAAAATCAGATCCGTATAACTGCAAGCCATTCTGCTCTACTGGGTGCCCAAATGGTGTTTGTGTAGGCCCAGAAACTTGCGTTTGTAACTCAGGGTGGCAACTGATTCAACTAAAGGGTATCAACACAAATATATGTCAACCTGTTTGTTCAAAACCCTGTATTAATGCTACATGTGTTGGCCCAGAAGCCTGTATATGTACAAGTGGATACATCAGGACTGATAAGTATAGCTGCAAGCCTTTCTGCTCCAGTGGGTGCCCACACGGCACCTGTATTGGCCCTGAGACTTGTAAATGTAATAACGGGTGGGGAATGATTAAATCAGAAGGGTCCACCAAAAAAACATGCGAACCTATTTGTTCAAAGCCTTGCGTAAATGGAATGTGTGTAGCACCTGAGACCTGTAAATGTATAAATGGATATACTAAATCTGGAAATTACAGCTGCGAGCCGGTTTGCTCCAACGGATGTCTACATGGAATCTGTGTAGCGCCTGAAACTTGTAATTGTCGTCCAGGGTGGCATATATCGAATGACAATAAAACTTGTCTCCCAGTTTGTTCCAAGCCTTGTGTAAACGGAACATGTGTTGCGCCAAATACTTGCAAATGCCTGCTGGGTTATAGAGTTTCCGGTAAATTCACGTGTAAGCCCCACTGTAGCGATGGGTGTCCAAATGGAACATGTATAGGTCCTGAAAAGTGTGACTGTAATGTAGGATGGCAATTAACTAGCTTAAATAACACAAAGATTAGTTCATGTCAACCGAAATGTACCAAACCTTGTATAAATGGCACGTGTGTTGCCCCAGAGACTTGTAAATGTCTTGCTGGTTACGTGAAGTCTGCCGAGAATGTATGTATGCCTCATTGCCATGATGGATGTCCTCACGGTGTTTGTATCAGTCCAGAGACTTGCGTCTGTAATCCTGGCTGGAAGATGACACAGACCAACACCTCACTGAATAGAACTTGTCAGCCGGAGTGCAGTCCAACTTGTGTCAATGGTTCTTGTACAGCTCCCGGAAGTTGCGAATGTTATTTTGGACATGAGATATCGGAAAAGAAGAATGTCTGTCGACCACGCTGCTCCAATGGGTGCAAGAACGGTGTATGTGCCAGCCCTGACAATTGTATCTGCAACGCTGGATGGGAAACGAGTAATGGGACGTGTCAACCGGTGTGTACTACGCCGTGCGTGCACGGCGCGTGCGTCGGTCCTGACACCTGCGAGTGTCTCGCTGGGTATGAAGTAGGAGACAACAATACTTGTGTGCCACGCTGTGCTGCCGGCTGTTCTCACGGGGTATGTGTGAGTCCTGACAACTGTATTTGTGACCCGGGATGGCGCAAAAATACCTTCAATGGCTCATGTGAAGTTGATAGTCCCAAAAACGGAAAGAAAACAAAAAATTGGTAAGCAGTAATAAACATTATTAACTTTTGTTAATTAACTTTTGAAGCAGTACCTCAGTATTTATAACGAATAGTGTTGTTCACTATGCATATGTTTTCAGGATTCAAACCAACTGGGTATATGTTGCGGCTGTTGGAGCTAGTAGTTTGTTGCTGCTAACTTTTATCTTCATAGTATTATGTTCAAAGAGAAAGCGATCTAGTCAGAATGGTACGTGGTTTTGCTTTCAAGATTATTTGTTTAATATACAAACTCTGTCAAAGATGTAAGAGAGAATATTATTTCTTTGAGTTAAATAAATGTAGTTCAAAAATATAATATAATACATTTATTCAAAAAGAATGTTAATTCTATGATTAAAATTGACGTTTTCTTCTTTAAACATTGCTTAATGGGAACGTTTTTAAACAATTAAGGCAATAATAATATGTTTTATCAAAGCTTACAAACCAATAAGCCATGCTGTTTAAAAAAAATATGACATTTTCCAGGTTCACTAGAGTATGGTGAAAAATAATAAGGTTAACTTTTTACTTTTAATGTTCTTCACTTGTTTACAGATGGAGCTACAGTCGTTTCGGTTCAAGAATTCGTTCACAAAAATTTCAACCCCCACAAGACGAAACAAAGTTACGACGTAAATTGCAAGAATTCAGAACTTTAAATTAAAAGTAATATTTAAATAGTTAACTATTATAAATAATATCATGTATGTATGTAGTTAGGTAGATATTTTAGTTTTATACGTATTATTTGGGTGACATAGCATTCAATATTAAACAAGGTGGAACTTCAACAATCGCAGACTAGTTTTTGGAATGCTAGGTACTCAATATTTGGGGCATAACTACTGTAAGTTAGTAAATGAAAGTGGGTTTGCTTGCATCTTTTTTTTGTGGGATAATCCGGTAAAAGATCAGGCGAATCACCTGATGGTAAGCAATAGATGTCGCCCAATGTATGTTACCTTAGCTATCTATTTATTTTAGTTAATTTCTAAAAACTATTATTTATTATTTTAAGAAGATGGTTTTACATTTTTTCTGAGGGCTGTTGAATAGGTTACATAATGTGGGATATTTTTTGTTTTTCTAGTCAATATAATGATCTTTGTTAATAATAATAAGTACTAATTGTGTGTTATAGTTATCATTATTCCAACTTAACAAAATAAAAGCAATAAGATAATAAATATTGGCAATTTTATTTATAAAATGGACTAGTTGTTCAAAATTTATTTTGTCAAGATTGCACGGTTGGCGCGGAGGCTGGGCAACTGGCTGCCGCGCAACGCGTCGCGGGTTCGATTCCGGCACGGAACAACTCTTTGTGTGATCCACAAATTGTTGTTTCGTGTCTGGGTGTCATGTGTATGTAAACTTTTATGTTTGTAAACGCACCCACGACACAGGAGAAAATCCTAGTGTTAATCTGAGTCCACCTTATTTTTATGTTTTTTATCTTTGTCATTTAGGGTGTGACGTCACTAAAGTTGTTTGTTAAGAAAAATCTTAACAAAAGAAAGACTATGATTTGTTGATTTATTAATAACTAGCTACTTCCGCGCGGTTTCACACGCTCTGCTCAGCTCCTACTGGTCGTAGCATAATGTTTTATAACCTATAGCAATCCACGATAAATGCGCTATCCAACACAAAAAGAATTATTCACATCAGACTTGTAGTTACGGAGATTAGCGCGTTCAAACAAACAAACAAAAAACAAACTCTTCCGCTTTATATAATAGTATAAGATTTCATACTTCGCGTCGACTTGCGATCTGTGAAATTTACCAATACATTGTTATTTTGTATTATTATTATTTTATTTTATATATATATTATTTTTAATGAAAATCAAAACAAGGGTTCTGAAGTTTGTTATCTATCACGTACTTAAACTTAAACAATTTGTCATAAATGGTATTTATCTACGGGTACAGTCGACATGAAAGAAAATATAAAAATGTGAATAAGTAGAGACAGACTTACTAAAATTAACCACAACTAAACTATTAAATAAAACGAAAATAAAAAAAAAGAAACAACGAAAATTATGCCCTTAATTTAGGCGTCAAAATACTCGTCCGCATCACTATCACAGGGGAACGTTCCCAGAAGACTGGCAGCATTGCCACGTTGAATGGCAATGCTTATTTTCTGTCCGAAGAAATAGCCAGTCCTCTGGCCAAGTGTACAGTTGATTAGCCTACGGGCGATATCTTTAAAGACAGAGTGTGCACTGGGACCCCATGGGCCAAGTCTTTCGACCACAAACGGTTTAAAACAGTAGAATACTCACTAGATTTGAATATTTACGCCGTTTGAGGGCCTCTACTGCGGAAGCGGGTGCACTAGCGCATGCAGCGGTACTTAGAAGATGTGATGGCGCAAGGGTATCTACACTCGTCGCGTCCCACACCAAAGGCCTACTAATCTTCCAAAGCAAATTGATTCTAATTCATTTAAACAAATCACTAAAATATTAAATTATACTAAACTGAAATATAAATAAAAGTCTATTTTTTTTTTTGACATTGTAAAAACGTAAATTTTTTTTCGCTATTACCTTTTTAGTTGATTGTACTTTTATAATCAATTGTTTTATTCATTACAAGTAAGGTAAAACCTTACTTTGCTTAGTTATCAATTCACTCCATATTTTATTATTTGCGCAAGAGTGGCGTAGATACATTTTACACCCATTACCTATTTTTATTAGCCCTGTTTGTTCCTGCCTAATTCTTGTTATAAACAATGATATTAAACATTGATGTTATTAAAATTCTTATTTGGTATATTGTTGTGTTACAACTAACACAAGTTTCGAGTCAAATTTGTGTAGAAACTAAACTGTAAGTAATTAATTTTTCCAGACTTCAGATAAAAAAGGGTTTGACATTTCACTTCTTTACATCTAAGTTCTAACTATATCAAAAAATTGAAACAATCACCAGCACATTAAGCAACCCTAATTACCTTTTTGTTTTAATGTTACTTTTAATATTGAACTTTCAGATTTTTCTGTTAAGGTCAGAATTAGAAAACATTATTTTGATGATGAATTGAATCGATATTGCTCAAATTGAAGTGGTTCGCGATAGAAACTATATTTTTTTAATCCTACAGGAGTTACCGTGATGTTCCTGAAACTTACACATATACCTACATGGAGGCTTACGAGAAGTCAAACTGCCTGTTCTGGTGTACCGACACTAGAGTGGCTACTGCAGTCGGTACGAGAATTGTCCGGGTAAGTGCACGATACACTTTGGATACTATAGGTTTATAGGTTTGAAGTAATATTCGACAAAATTAAATTATATCACTTTTTATGCCGATGAAATTTTGAAGAAATGTTATTCTAAATTCATGGATAAAAATAATTACAGAAACCAGTGCCCGAACAAGTACACGTATGCTGCGAAGGATACACACAACATGACAACAATAACGGGACCAGGTACCTTATTACTTTATTAAACCTTGCGACTTCAACCAGGACTTCAAGCCAAGTTGTGAAACTAATATAATAATAATACTCTTTATTTTAGTATTAACTGCGAGCCGTATTGTTCACCTCCTTGTGTTAATGGCTACTGCAAATCTCCAGGAGTGTGTGCCTGTAACGCTGGCTACTTGCCCGACATGTTCGCCAGTCAGAACTGTTCTCCTTTGTGCATCAAACCGTGTAACCATGGAACGTGTGTCGCACCCAACACGTGCAAATGCGACGAAGGCTACAACCTGGTCGATGAAGCATGTGAACCAATTTGCTCTAAACCTTGCTATAACGGCACCTGTGTTACTCCAGAAACCTGTCAGTGCCTACCAGGGTACAAAAAAACAGAAAATGATACATGCGAACCTTTTTGCTCCAACTACACTGAAACTAGCGACTGTATCTATTCAGTTATTTGTGAACCTGGATGGAATAAAGTAATTAGGGATTCAATTGAAATATGTGAACCAATATGCACAAACCCGTGTAACAATGGGACTTGCGTAGCATCCGAAACATGTGAATGTCTCGAAGGGTACGAGAAAACAGGTGATAATAACTGTCAGCCGCATTGTTCTTGGTGTGAACATGGCACCTGCATTGGTCCTCAAATTTGCCTTTGTGATCCTGGATGGTATAAAAAGGAGTCGAATGGCAATTGCCTTCCGCATTGCGACAATAAATGCGGTAACGGCACATGTATAGCTCCAAATACTTGCAAATGTTTACCAGGTTATAATATTACTCAAAGAGACATTAAACTTGGTGAAGATAGTGTGTTGTGTACTCCCGTATGTAATCATTGTGATGGTACGTGTGTTGCTCCTGGAACATGTTTTTGTGAACCGCCTGAACATATGTTACTTGTTACCATTGATGGAGAGCCATGTGACTGTGTACACAATTGTTCTGATTCAGCACATAGATGTGAGAGAACAGTTTGTCTGCTAACTACTACAGTGTCAAGTGTAACTAAAATGAATGTAGTCAAAACTTCTGCACGTGAAAATACGGATATTTATACATTAATGCCAACTGATAATGAAATAGTTGAGGGAACTACATATAAGACTATGGATTGGGAACAAAATCAATTAATGATTAGTGAGGCACCGTGGTACGTATAAGGTATATTGTTTAGTATAATAGATAATTGACTTTGTAAATAATATAACAATATCTTTCAAAGGTACAAATCAAATTGGTTCTACGTGGCTGGATCTCTTACTATAATGGCGTCGATTGTGACGATAGCCGCCATTTTGAAAAGGAGATATTTAAAAACAATCAGGAGACTATTTAATAAGCAGAGTAAGAAAATAACTAAGACGCTAATTTTATAATAGTTGAAGTAATAACAAAGTGCATGATCGTGGTTCAAGCTTGTTCAATTTTTCCAATCCCCGAATTCCTAACAATCCTCAAATTCATAACCCCTAAAAGGCCAGTAACCCACACAACTTTCTAAAACTGCTGCAAGCCAGAACCTCAGTAGATACAACCATGAAAACACCGGAATACTGAAGTAAGGCGCGTCCCAGAGACATGAATTACTTTCATGGACCAGAAACGCACTTGTAACGCCTCTGGTGTTTCGGGTGTCTTGTGATTGTATATGATAATGAGACTCTATATACATAAATAACATTAAAGCCTGCTAAACGCTAAGCGCTGTACCTTAGTCCCATATAACATCTCATTGTCAAATAAGGACACAATTTCAAACTGCCTGCACTGTAGTATTTGAAAAATTAATAATAACCTAATTCTTTTACTTCTAACTTATATTTTGTATCTACATCAGTGTCATCACATGTTACATAATATGTATATTTTGGTTTTAGAATACTGTTATCACAATAATTATAATTAAACAATAATAATTATGTTTTTTTTTATTTCAGATTTAGACACGACTACAGCGGTACATTATAAACAAAATATTGGTTGATACATTATCAAGCTTTTGCTACTTTATTTTGATATAATAAATAAAAGATGAATGTAGAGCTTTTATATAGGAGGTACCACATTGTTTTACTACTTTCCTGTCTGCCTAAGAAGAATCATTGATTAGAATCAATGACTATATTAGTAATGAATTAACGTTTCGAGGATAATTTACTATTTACTTTTTTGTTGCATAATTAATGAAAGTAACACACACTTTTTAATTAATTCTACTCCATTCAATTGAAATAGAATTATGAATAAGGATGATGGTAGGGTATGAAAATTAAAAATCTAATTATCCCGTCAGTTAGGTAATAAAAAAATATTAGACAAGTATTTTTTTATTTTGTCTTTTAAGAAAACAATACTTAGATAAAACGAATCAAAGTTTAGGAGTGGGAGGTAGCTACGTCATTTTTGAGTGTAAATGGTACCCAAAAGTAACGTCACGCGATATTTCAAATTAATATGTCGCCGAAAGTATTAGTTTCCGTATGAAAATCAAAAATACGTGTCTAATGTATATAAATAATCTACCATACGGACATTAAAATAAAAAAATGTCACCTATTCTATTATGTAAATTTCCTTTAATACAACTTTAACATAAGCTTCGTACAAAATCGACCCTTACAGACCGTGGTAGGTAGTAAATGGAATATTAATGACAAATTATTTTTTTTCTAATAAGGTTATTTTTAAATAAAACCCATTTTGTTGAATCAGCTACTAACTGTATTCATGCTTATTACAAAAAAACAATTAATATTCGATACCGCTATCATCAGTAAAACTTACAAAGTAAACTTAAAGGAATTATGTTGTTCTAGTATAATTCTGGGCCATGATCATCTTGTCTTCATTCACGGTCGGTACGTCACTGAAATATTATAATAAAGCATTAGTATCAATCATATTGACAACTATTATTATAGGACATAAATGGGTAGGCCACGTTGTTAGAGGGACTGACGGTCGACTGACCAGAAAGTTGCAGTGTAGGCAACTTCCCGGTAGATGGGTCGGCGACATCATCATAGTCATGGGGAGCTAATAGATGGCAGTGGCGAGTTGTCGTTCGGCTTTCCGTGGAGGACTGAGGAAGAGGGCTCTGATCGAAACATTTTATTGTTTTTTATAATAACTATCGTGAGACATACTAAATTAAGTAAAAACGCGGGTTACTCACGTGAATATACTGAGAAAAGCTGTCGCCGCGACCGCGCACGCTGCTCATGAGGACGAACCCCTCTGTGGTTCGAAACTAGTAGAGCTTTTGCTCAGTATAATCACGTGAGTAACCCGCGTTTTTACTTAAAATATTTTATTTACAATTTTATAGTTCTTGCTGTAGTAAACTATTGTGTACTTATTTTAAAATATTGGTCTTGGCATCAACACAAAACCCCCTATATTTTTATGTAAAAAAAAATTTCTGACGTACCGTACACTCTTCTTCTATATCGTATATATGTCATGGTAATAGCTATGGCGAGCAGGATGCCACAAGCAAATCCACAAATTCCGAGCCCCAAAATCGTTGCCATACTATATTTTTCAGGTTCTTTGGCTAATGGTCCTAGTCCGGATCTGTAAACACGTTGTAATAAAGCCAATTAAAGTAAAAATATAAAAAATATGTCTTATATTGAATAGAAATCAGGATAGAAAAACTACTGACATTGTTTTATGTCTCCTGTGATTCAAGTCCAGACTAATAGGAATTTGTAAACGAAACTGCTTCGTTAGCCGAGTGGTCTCAAGTGCGACTGCCGGGCAAGGGGTCTCGGGTTCGATTCCCGGGTCGGGCAAAGTAATACAGGTTTTTTTTTCAATAAATCTCAGAAGTAGCACGGAGCCTGGAATTTTGCCCCGTTATTTGGCAATAGGCTCACCGCCTATTACATCGGACTCATAACATAAATAGTGAATAGTGGGTGTTACATTGTACAGTGGCAATAAGTGCCGTAATGTTGTTACATTACTCCTGCTCCTGCTCTGCCTACCCCTTCGGGGATAAAAGGCGTGATATGAATGTAAGTGATGATGCGGTGTACGATGGAGCACGCCGTCCCATAAGCAACCTATTCACTCGGGCCTTGAAGACTCCCAGGTTCTACCCTTCAGGAAATACAGACTCTGGCAAAGAATTTCACTCTTTAGTAGTATGCTCAAGGAAGCTTGAAGCGAAGCGCTTCGTGCGTGTGGGTGGAACATCTACCATGAATCGGTACGATGATGGAAAGGACTAGGAGGAATCAAGTTGTGCAATCATAATCTTTTTTTTTCACTTTTCACTATTTAAGCTTTGAGTCTCATGTAATAAGGGGTGAGCCTATTGCCATATACCGGGCTATATAATATACAATTCCAGACTCCGTGCTACTACTGAGATTTATTTTTAAACCTAGTTATACTTTGTGCGACCCGGGAATAGAACCCGAGACCCCTTGCAGTTGCACTTGCGACCGCCAGGCCAAGGGTGCAGTCGAGGCAATTAATGTATAAATAAACAGTAATGAATAATATTCATCTGCTCTTACGTTTCTGTTCCGTGTGATAATGGTTCTGGAGCAACTGTCGTCGTGGGTTGTATCACACTATGATTGTTTTCACCTGGAGCAACTGTCGTCGTGGGTTGTGACACACTATGATTGTTTGAACCTGGAGCAACTGTCGTCGTGGGTTGTATCACACTATGATTGTTTTCACCTGGAGCAACTGTCGTCGTGGGTTGTGACACACTATGATTGTTTGAACCTGGAGCAACTGTCGTCGTGGGTTGTATCACACTATGATTGTTTTCACCTGGAGCAACTGTCGTCGTGGGTTGTGACACCACACTATGATTGTTTTCACCTGGGGCAACTGTCGTCGTGGGTTGTATCACACTATGATTGTTTTCACCTGGAGCAACTGTCGTCGTGGGTAGTGACACACTATGATTGTTTGAACCTGGAGCAACTGTCGTCGTGGGTTGTGATACATTATGATTGATTGAACCTGGACAAAATATCCACGTGGGTTGTGACACACTATGACTGTTTTCACCTGGAGCAACTGTCGTCGTGGGTTGTGATACATTATGATTGTTTGAACCTGGAGCAACTGTCGTCGTGGGTTGTAATACATTATGATTGTTTTCACCTGGAGCAAGTGTTGCTTCGATTTGTGGTACACTAAGGTTATTTGCACCTAGAGAAATTAATTGTCATTATAATATTATATAATTATAAAGAAATCCTTTAAATTTTTGTAATATACCTTAAGTTAAGTTATAAGATGTAGGGTCATGATAAGTATAATATAATGTATGCGCGTCAGCGAGAAGTGACACTCGTTACGCGACAGTTATAGTGAACACAATAAATAGCATCTAATATTGTCCGTCGTTTAATTTATGAGTCACATACCTAAAAAGATAATGCTTATTATTTAATATATTTATTTAAAGTTCTCTATAAATTACATTTTTAAATAGTACTTGTAAAATAAAAATAGTATTTAAAAATATAAAAAATTGAAGCCGACCAGTAGCGGGAGCATGGTCCAAGCTACCGGTGGTTAAGGCTCCAGAGACAGAAACCTCCTCATGATACGTGCCGTTTCTAGGAGAACTGCCTTCTGTATCAGGACCTTGATTCATCCACCTAACGCCAGCCTCCTGAGATGGATGTTGAGGCTTTTAGGGAATAACCCTTTGGCCGACACGACCATCGGCACAATGATAGCCGAATCCACACTCCACATGTCGACAACCTCGTGAGCTAAGTCTAGATATTTTATTCTCAGCTTTTACGAGGTTCTCGTCATGGGGAATGGTGACGTCGATTATCATCGTGCGGCGTAATTGTCGGTCTATCAGCCCTATGTTTATTCAGTCAGGCTTATGTTTATTTATTAAATTATTATCATAATTTTTATGAAGTAAGTAATTTAGCGATAACAATAATACACAAGTAGATAATCACGAAATCAGAAACTGAAGTAGTTCTCCCCTAATATTTATCTACAGTGGTTTCTTACCTCATCAATTAATGTACATTTGCACTATGAATATCTCCTACATAGTAAGGAATATAATGTATACAAAATAAATACTCACCTCCTGAATTTTCTACCACTCTCTCTCTGATTCCTGAATTATCCATGTCACTAGAAAAGTCTTCATTTCCTTCTGAAGCTCTATTTTTTTCTATATTTAATAAGGAAATCATTTCACTGTAAGAAAAAAATATATAAAAATGTTTTTTTAAATATAAAGTAGCTAGAAAAGTATTGAATTTTTTTGTTATACTCACTTTAAGTATTCACAAAGTGCATCAATGTCACTCATCCTGAAAAAACATAATTTTATAAAAAATAGTATAACTAAGACATTTTAAGTTTTTTTATGGCACTACACACACTAACGCACTTGTAACGCCTCTGGTGTTCCAGGTGTCCATGGGCGACGCCAATTGCTTACTATCAGGTGAACCACCTGCTCGTTTACCAGTTTATACCATAAAATAAAAGTTTACTAAAAAAATACATTAATAAGTTGAACTGAAATGTACGTACATCGATGATCCCAAAGTCGTGAATGGTGAAGCGGCGGTGCAATTCACCTGTAAAAAAATAAATATCACTGAATAAAGTCAAAGTCAAAGTCAAAGCGTTTATTACAATTAATCCTTAATTAGGAATTGTCCGTCCGTCTGTCTATCAGTGACGCTAGGCGCTAAATAATGTTGAAATCGACTTGATCTGCACAAATTAACCTAAGTACCTATCTTCTTTATTTTAAAATTTTGCATCTTATTAATAAATATTATAAATGCGAAAGTTTGTCAGTTTGTATGTTTGTTACTCAATAATGACGAAACGGCTGAAGGGATAAAAATGAAATTTGGAACAGAGGTAGGTTATGGTCTGGAACTTTTTATCCCACGGGACCCCGGGGGAAGCCGCTGGCAGAAGCTAGTCAGTAAATAATTACTCAAACTAACGATGTATTACATACTGACTTACACTCTTTTATATAAAACATTGCCCCACACTAGGATTGTGTCGTGGGTGCGTTTACAAACATACAAGTTCACATACATATCACACCCAGACCCGGAGCAACAATCTGTGGATCACACAAAAAGTTGTTCCGTACGGGAATCGAACCCGCGACATGTTGCGTGCTAGCCAGTTAGCCAACCACCGCGCTAACCGTGCAGTCAAACACTAATAATAATAGGTAAAGTACTTACATTGTCACTATCTTTTAAAATGGGCTTGCTGAAAACAAAACACAATTCTTTAAACGTGTGCATAATAGTTATTGTTCAGTAACAAATTTTGCGGACAAGATACTTTAGATTCGACTTATACAATAGACTCATTTTTACATTGGACTCATCGTAATATAACTGGCGAAATCTAGATATTACATTGTATTGTCAGAGATTTTTTTAGGAGGGAAAATCATCGAATCACTGCTGGGAGGGAGTGTCAGACTCTTGCTGACTAAAAACCATCCCGTTCCTTCTCCTGCACTTCGAGCCGGAGCCCCGGTAACCCGTTAGGTTTTCCGCAACTCGGAATCGGCAACAGCCCTATTGGGCCCCATCCGTGGTGGTCTGATGGCTCTTTGAGGCGCGCGCGGAACGCTCGGTGCGTTACGCTCGGGATTGTCAGAGATAAGATGATTACATGTTCTGTGATTACAACAACAAGCTACTAGAAGACGTAGTCGCAGCACAGAATGCTAAACCAATTTAAAAAGAGACTTCACAGTCATACGAAATCGAAGTAAATAATAATAGAAGGATTCGATACAGGCACATATCACTTCCTTGAATATACAAGCCTAAGTGTGGGAGAGCCATGCTTCGTTGTGTTTTGTCGCGTGAGTGAAATTACCGGAGGACCAATTACCCCCATCCGCCCTTTCCCAATTCCTGAATCCCCAACAATCCTCAAATTCCTAATCCGAAAACGCCAGTAACGCACTTGTAACGCCTCTAGTGTTTCAGGTGTCCATATGCGATGCCGATTGCTTAACATCAGGTGATCCATCTGCTCGTTACCTATCTTATATCGCTTATCCCATAAAAAAAAATATTATTAGGAGGATTAGTGTGAAGAGTGTGAACAAGTTATTAAAATTTGCGTAACTTACATAGAGCAATCGCAAATGTGTTCTGCTCGTTGCGCACTGAAAAATGTGAAAACATATTATAATTATGTAATGTGTCACTTACTAAAATCAGTTTTATGAGTAAGTTTATAGCCCTAGCAGGCCACAGTGGCGCTTTGCATCTTGCGTCTGTCATGAGCGAAGAAAACAATCAAGCGGATTACGTTGGTGCGACAAGCGGCCCCCGTTCAAATTGTATGATTATTTATTCTCATCGCAGACGCAAGACGCGTCGCGCCAGCGATTGAGAGATGATTCGTTCCTCACTAATTATTCGTTTGCCAAGTAGGCTCCAAAATTACTGGGCAGATTTGAAATAATGCTTAAACATTATTAGAAAACCACTTTTGGAAAATTAAGTTAAAAAGATAAGACAGTATAAAGTTTACTTTCTTACACTGTTTCATGGCAACTTAAAGTATCTGTTTAAAAAATAGCCCTAATATATTGAATTACGGAAAATGATAACTAAGTACTTACATTTCTTCTAACACCGATACGTCAATAAGTATGGTTTTGTTCTTTTTGTAAAACCTCTGAAAAAAACAACATAATAGATATCAGATATAATTATGAATACGTAAAAAATACAGATAAATAATCCAAGTCTACTCGTTTGCCACCCTTTGCCATAAAAGCCATTTCTGTATCGATTTCGGTGCCTTATTCTAACTAACGGCCTATCATTCTCATACTTACAGGATAAGATTCGTACTTGAATGCTTCTGAATTTTCTAGTTTCTCTAAAAATGAACTGTCTTCAGTTGGAGTTGTATCGGTTCTGTTTACATGAGACTTATCTTTAATCGAATCTTTCGGCTTCAAATTTGATGATGAAGGAATCTCTGGAATGGAATCTATTCTAGGTTCTCCAGTTCCTGTACTATTTTTATCACCATTTTTGATTCCTAGGGAATTCGATGCATTTTTTTCATTGGTTGTGTTATTTCCATCAATTTTGTTTACGTTTGGAACTAAAGAAAGCGCATGTTTACCGTCCTTATTATTTATATTGGCTTGTAAAATAATTTCGGTCTCATTTAAAGTTGAAGGAGGTTCTGTTCTAGGTTCTCCAGTTCCCATACTATTTTTGTCGTCATTTTTAATTCCTAGGGAATTCGATTCATTTTTTCCATTGGTTGTGTTATTTCCATCATTTTTGTTTACGTTTGGAACTAAAGAAATCTCATTTTTATGTTCCTTATTATTTAAACTGGCTTGGTCAATAGTTTCGTTTACATTTAAAGTTGAAGGAGATATTATTTTAGTTTCTCCAGGTCCTGTACTATTTTTATCACCATTTTTGATTCCTAGGGAATTCGATTCATTTTTTCCATTGGTTGTGTTATTTCCATCAATTTTGTTTACGTTTGGAACTAAAGAAAGCTCATTTTTATGTTCCTTATTATTTAAACTGGCTTGGTCAATAGTTTCGCTTACATTTAAAGTTGAAGGAGATATTATTTTAGTTTCTCCAGGTCCTGTACTATTTTTATCACCATTTTTGATTCCTAGGGAATTCGATTCATTTTTTCCATTGGTTGTGTTATTTCCATCAATTTTGTTTACGTTTGGAACTAAAGAAAGCGCATGTTTATCGTCCGTATTATTTATACTGGCATATTCAATCGTTTCGCTCTCATTTAAAGTTGAAGGAGGTTTTGTTCTAGATTCTCCAGTTCCTGTACTATTTTTGTCATCATTTTTAATTCCTAGGGAATTCGATGCATTTTTTCCATTGGTTGTGTTATTTCCATCAATTTTGTTTACGTTTGGAACTAAAGAAAGCTCATGTTTATCGTCCTTATTATTTATTATGGATTGTAAAATAATTTTGTTCTCATTTAAAGTTGAATGAGGATCTATTCTAGGTTCTCCAGTTCCTGTACTATTTTTGTCGACATTTTTAATTCCTTGGGAATTTGATTCATTTTTTCCATTTGTTGTGTTATTTTCATCGTCTTTTTCTATATTCTTATTGGCATTATGTTTCAACAATAATGAGTAAATAAACATGCGTTTTATGTCTCTGTGAACATAAAAGAGTTAAAAATGAAAAGTATATTCCATATTCAGTTGGTTCATGAAATAATTCAAATATGAAACGTATCTTACTTGAAACTCATCGACTGACATTTTGCTTTAATTGATTGTTGGAGGCTGAAATAAATGTATGTCTGGTAAAAAACATTATTATACATCTACATAACTGTAACAATGGTTTTGTATATCTATTTATTTCTTAGTATTTAAATTAAATAAGTATTTGTTTCGGTTAGGTTATATTGCATGCAAAGTGAAGGTTTTGCGCCCATTGATGTAGCCTTATTCAATAGCTAACATCAATAGAAAAGATATTTCTATATAACAAGCACAATAATATAATAATAATCGTATTAACAGATAATAACTGAAGACTTACTCAGGGGTTAAATTGTTGATAGTCTCATCAGGTTTACAGAAGAAAGACTTCTGAAAAATAAATTGGTACTATTAAATTGACGCAATAACAACGAAAACATCCTATAATGATGTAGGACTGCGTGGAGGACACGGTGGAGTTTACGGTGGCAGTGCACACAGCCACCTGCGTGGGCTGAGCACCGCCGTGCGAACGGAGTGAGGAGGACTGAGATGCCGTCTCCTCCGTCTTTTTATTATGGGACAAACCCGCCACAAACTCCTAAAACAGCTGCAACTCCTGGGAGTCAGGATTTACAGTAGACACGGTTGTATTTGTCTGTACATTACATGTACCCAAAAAATTGAAGAAGTATATAGTTTCATTAAAAAATACTAAATAATAAAAATATTATATGTTGTATTATTATATTATATGTATGTTTCATTTTAATTATCAATATCTAATATTTTTGTGACCCCAGTATGATTTTCTGTTATATCGTGGATGCATTGTTATATCGTTATATTCATATCCACAATACACTCAACCCGTAACAAAATTTTGTGGATAGTACAAAGAGTGGTTCCATGCGGAAACCGAACCCGCAATATATGTAGTGGTTAGTTTTATACCTTTTACCCCGAAGGGGTACTCAGAGGTGCATATTACGGCAATGAATGCCACTATAAAATGCAAAACCCACTTTTCACTATTTATGTTATGAGTCCCATGTAATAGGAGATGAGCCTATTGCCACATACCGGGTTCATTTCCAGACTCCGTGCTAGTACTAAGATTTACAAAAAAGCCAGTACAATATTTCCTGATCCGGGAATCGAACCCGAGACCCCTTGCCCGGCAGTCGCAAGTTACGACCACTCGACCGACGGGGCAATTCTTAAATGTACTGTTATATAATAGTTTATAAGTTTTGGCACTTACTTGATTACGGTTGAGATCGGGACCTAATTTCCTAAAAAACAATAGGAAAAAATTATTACTGAGAGATTTTTGCAACAAAATTAATGTTTTTTTATAATATTTGACATCGTATATTATCAAAACTCGTCGCTAGACCTCAGAACTAAATAATGTAACATAAAAGAAAAATAGAAAGCGTGTCAGATACAAATACAGGGTGTTTAGTGCAGCGTGTGCCAAATTGTAATGGTCGACTGAAGGAGTCATCTGCTAGCCTTACAGGTCCTTCAGGTCAGAAAACCCGCTAGCCACGATCACCTCGTCTAGTCGAATGGTCTTCCTTTGTTAAAGGAACTTTACTCTGTGTTCTCTAAAAATTCAACTCGATTTAATTTGGTACACAATGCACCAAACACCCTGTATATCATAAATATTTGCAGTTATTATTACATAACATAACTCCTTTTATCCCCCAAGGGACATTATCTACGGTACTTAGTGCCACTGTACAATGTATGTTATGACTCCCATGTAATAGGGGGTGAGCCTATTGCCATATATCGGACATAATTCCAGATTCCGTGGCGCTAGTGAGAATTAAAAAAACCAGTAATAATTTGCCCGACCCGGAAATCGGACCCGAGACCACTTGCTCGGCAGTTGCACTTGCAACCACTTGGCCAACGACGCAGTTAATTATAAAATAAATATAAGAAATAGCTACTTACATAAAACATATACAGTCACCTATTCTAATTGACAATTCTGACAATCTGTAAACAAAAAACAACAATGTTATAATAATATCAGACAATTGGAGGACTGAATGACGTGAGAGTGCAATGCATTTCACTAACCCTACTCCTCCCATGGGTGCCGTAACGCAGATTCATGGCAGCTGCACTTTATAATGAACCTAAACTTTGCCCGCTTGCCAGACTAGGAGATTACGGTTTTTTTTTTTAAGGGGGGGAAAATCATCGAATGACTGCTCCCGCCTGGGTGAGGCGGAAGGGAGTGTCAGACTCTTACTGACTAAAAACCACCCCGTTCCTTCTCCTGCACGTCGAGCCGGAGCTCCGGTAACCCGTTAGGTTCTCCGCGACAGGAGATTACGGTAAACCCTCATGTCTACCGATACCTCTGTTAATCGTACTCCATCTAGTGAACTATTGCGGGCTGCTGATAATGTAGAAATTGTACTGTGACCAGGGGGCTTACTCTCGAATCCAATTCTGATCGATCAACACTAGCGCCCATTGCATCTGTATTACGTGAATGTTTAATGAACTAAATTGTGAATTTGGCTTTGCATTCCGTACTTTAATGCTATTTTAACAGCTACGATAGGGGTTGTATAGTTGACTTTGAATAATTATTGAGATTTTATTGGATTGGAATTGCATTGACATTGAGATTGGTTTCAGGATTAGGCGGCTGCCTACCTACCTAATAGTTTTACTTGGTAGAACTGAGGCCTTATTTAGTAGAATCGAAACGAGACCGCGGTGGGCGCTCCTACTGGTTGGTTCATTGGAGTTGGCCAATCAGAGCACTGAACGCGGTTTCGTTTCAATTACTGTAAACGGAGACAAACTTGTACCATCTTATACTAAGCCCTTTGATGGATTATAAGTTACGAATAATTACCCCTTAGGCACTTGAAAAGTGAAATTTAAGATTAATATTTTCGAAACAGCAGCCGTAGCCAATTACTATTTAGCGCTTGTCTCAGATAACCAAATTATATGGAATTGACGTAAATTTTGACACTTCTCAGTATACATTAGTTAGTTATTAGTACCCCATACATTTAGTTGTCTACTCTTTCTGTAGACAAGCGCTAAAGTGTTGTTTGTCTAAAGGCACTGGACAGCTGACTCTCATTTATAGAAACTAGATTTATTTTATTTGAATATTTTTGCTGATTTATGCGAATGACATAAGTAGATACTCACTTGTGTGAATCATGTGCACTAGCATGGTCCTTCGCACCGACGTTCAGTAACTGAAACAAAATTTCTCTTTTTAGCTAAATACTGCATTATCTTACACTAGGATTCTCTGCTATGTCATGGGCGCGTGTACAAATATATTATTTCACATACTAACTAACTAATGATGAAATCCTCAAAAGCCACTCAATTCTAAGACGATCTCAAGAATTAAATAAGAATAATTCTGTTACAATAAATCCAAAGTTAGAACCATATTTAAGTACAAACTTAAAATTCAGTAACATTTCAGTATTCCAGCGTAAATGACACATGGCAACTAGACCCAGAATAAAAATGTGTAGAAAACATAAAGAATTGTTCTATGCGGTTTTTTTTTAAGGGTGAAAATCATCGAATGACTGCTCCCGCCTGGGTGAGGCGGAAGGGAGTATCAGACTCTTACTGACTAAAAACCACCCCGTTCCTTCTCCTGCACTTGGAGCCGGAGCCCCGGTTACCCGTATGCGGTATTCATGCTCGCGAAGCGTTGTACAAAAGACGGTAGTCCACCTTGCGGATTTTATCGAACAATTTTAACTCTACAAAATATATTCTGGGATGCTGAATCGAAAAACAATACTACAACGCTTTCACAACACTGACATAATTTTCAAATTCAAATTCATTTATTGTTTGCTATTCGCGTTCGTTATTTTTGTTATTCATTATTTCACATGACTTTGATATCTACCTCTACATTTGAAAAAACACCTAGTTTATTTTATATAGTTAATACACCAATAGAGGAATTAGTTATTATATATAGCAAATATATAAAAACTTGACTTACCAGTATACTAAATAATAAAACGTTAAATAAATACATTTTGTAGACTGTGCAGTGTGCACGCGCAACCACTGTGTGTGCTGCACCACTCTTCTGAAAGCCGTTTTTTAGAAGTCACTTTATATTATATTTATCCTGCAAAAGGTAATAATATAGATTGCGGGTAGATACCCAGTTTTCCTCATTCCGCTTTTGATAAAGAATTAAACAATGCACACATTTTAATTAGGAAAATATTTTGCTAATTCCCAAGTGTAACATATTTTGCTAATTCCCAAGTGTAAAATACGTCGTCATTGCGTAAATAGGTAGGTGTCGCCCATGGCTTCACCTGCTAAAACTTTACTTTTTACTTTAACTTTTTACTTTTGTAATCCGTTGTTTTCGACCCGCTGTATATTTTATATAATCTCTGTAAGTAATAGGTTAAAATCGGTACAGCTCATAACTTCTATTTGTAATGAAGAATGATACATAACATAACATCACGTCTTTTATCCTCGGAGGGGTAGGCAGAGGTGCTCATTATGCTACTGTACAATGTGACATCCACTTTTCACTATTTATGTTATGAGTCCCATTTAATAGGGGGTGAGTCTAATGCCATATACTGAGCACAATTCCAGACTCCATGCTACTACTGAGAATTTTTTAAAACCCAGTAATATTTTGCCCGACCTGGGAATTGAACCCGAGACCCCTTGCCCGGCAGTCGCACTTGCGAACACTCGGCCAACGAGGCAGTCAGAATGGAGAATGTTACTGTAACGTAAAATTCAGAAAGTACCTACATATTTGTAACTCAAATAGATTAAACTAATAATAAATATAACCTACCTACTACCCTTGACTATGTTTAAAAAATTACAATGTATGGGATGTTGTGCTATGACATCACAGTACAACGTAAATTTTGTATGAAAACTGGAAGGCTGACACTGACACATATGTATTTTAAAAACGGTAACATTCTCCATTCTGTTCAGTATTTATGCTTGAGTTTTTTTTTAAGATCTTCGTCATCAGTCTCTCATATTTACGCCCTAAAATTCCTTATTTGAGTAACGCGCGCGTTCTTTAAGTTTTCATTTAACAATTTATATCATTACTAGCTTTACCCGCGGCTTCGCTCGCGTCACAAAAGGATTAAAAGTAGCCTATGTGACATATACCAATAAACACAGCGCCATCTATACCAATACTTTTGTTTTCCCTCGGGAATATCATTTTTTTCCGGGATAAAAAGTACTCTATTATTTAATCCGGACTTCTAACTTTACGTCTACAAAAATTCAAAGCAATCGGTTTAGTAGTTTTCTCACTTTCCGATTTATAATATTATATAGTAAGGATGTTGAAGGAAGATTGTAATAATAATAATAATAAGCCAGGGATGCAGGAGGCTTCGGCTGCAGCAGATGATCTGAGTAGAAAGCGGTGGTAGTTTCTTAACCCTTCAGCCACTCACATTCTCGTTGCCCCTCTGTTGCTATATCTAGCAACCATTCCCGGGGCCCGGTCGGTGAGTTGGCGAGTCTCCGCCTGCCATTTTTACGTGTAAAAATTACATTGTTTCGGCAGGTGCCATAGTCATCCATAGTTCCCAATTTACCAGTCCACAGCAACCCATCCATAACCCTACCTTTTTTTTCCATTATTCACAATAGTCCTACACTAACCGGAGACTGTCCTTGGGTGCATTTCCATAGTGCATACAGGGATAGTCGCCGGTTTGTGTGTCCATTACATTTAGATTAAAGTTGTCTAAAGGGCCTCTGCGCAGTTGGCTTCGGCCCCTCGTACGCCTCCCAAATGACCGGGACCCTGTGGTCCCGTGAATGGTAAAGACATACATAATAATAATAATATGCTTTATTGTACACCAAGCGAGTAATTATATAGTATCAACAAATTACAGAAAATAAAGAGGGTACAAGGGCGGCCTTATCGTTAAAAGCGATTGTAACTATTTAAATTAATATTAACGTGGAATCCTTGGCCAAAAACTGATTCTTGTTTTGAAATGGCTAATACAGTAGAGCAGGAATTTCATACACATAATTTAAAACTATAACCAAAAGTAAATCTTGCTATCCTAACTAATGATTTACAAATAAATTAAAGTTGACCCAATAATAGTTTATGAGCATCAAAATTAAAACCGGGGTGTAATATGAAATAGACTAAGGGGACGGACTAATTCTGACCGCAGGGTTTGAAGTAACCTAACGAATGGCATGACGGTAGCTAAAGGCTTTTCTTGTTTTGAAGCTAGGTAAAGCTATTACGTAAATAGGTTAGAATCGGTTAGACCTATAGGCTATCATCTAATGACTGCTCCCGCCTGGGTGAGGCGTGAGGGAGTGTCAGACTCTAACTGACTAAAAACCACACCGTTCCTACTCCTGCACTTCGAGCCGGAGCCCCGGCCACCCGTTAAGTCCTCCGCGGCACCTATAGGCTATAGTTTGCTCGCTCCATTCGCTTACTGTAACTTCCGTCATGCCATTCTAGCCTGTCCGCCTACCATGCATCGGGTTGCCACCTAAGGTAGTTTTTTAATCATTTAGGTACTAATGTAAGCACTCGAATAAATAAAATACGCACTGAAGCAGGTTAAAAATATAACTAACATAAAAACTGCAATTATGTCATACTACGCCTATGTTGGATAGAGTATTTGTCGCACAAAAAAAGTGCATCAGAGCAATAAGTGGCCTTCAACCTGATGACTCTTGTAGACCAGTGTTCAAAAGATTTGGTTTGCTACCTCTGCCGTGTCTTTACATATATGAGGTATGTGTATTTGTAGCTAACAATAACAGATTATTTGAATCAGCACATTAAATCAATCCTAGAAACAGACGAGACCCTCATAAACTGGTATTAAGTGATTTGCCAAGACTTGCCAAATACAATGAAAACTGCTTAGCAATGTGCGTAGGTATTTATAACAAATTACCAATTCGCTTTAAAGTAATGAACACAAGGAGACTTAAGATCGAATTATACAAGTAGCTCAATGAATGTAATTTTTATAGTTTATGTGATTTTATGAATGTGAAATACTTCTGTCAAAATAACAAACTTTTGCATGCTATGTTTTATCTTAGCGAAACATGTTGAGCTATTGTAATAATATTAACACCAATGTATACCATGTTTTACGCAAATAAATGATTTACTTACTTACTTACTTTTTTTGGTGTTAAGTATATATTTTTGGTAACAGGACTAATGGTATCAAAGTATTTTCTGGTGGTCCTAATATTTAATCTCTTATATAATATTACAAAATAGGTACAATAGTACACACACCTAATCTCAAATTAGTTTTTTAATTATACCATTTCCTTCCGCTTAGTATAGGTACACTAATTTATTTCAACGGTTTTGCTAGAGGCATAATTGGGTAATTTTTTTTATATAGAACTAAACAGTTGCCGTAGACGACAGTAGACTGCCTCGTTGGCCGAGTGGTCGCAAGTGCGACTGCCGGGCAAGGGGTCTCGGGTTCGATTCCCGGGTCGGGCAAAGTATTACTGGGTTTTTTAATATTCTCAGTAGTAGCACGGAGTCTGGAATTGTGCCCGGTATATGGCAATATGCTCAACCCCTGCCCCATTACATGGAACTCAAAACAAATAGTGAAAGTGGGTGTTATATTATACAGTGGCATTAAGTGATGTAATGTGCACCTCTGCCTAGCCCTCCGGGGATAAAAGGCGTGTCTTTGCATTGTTCTCACATATACGTACAGTATTGGAATATGTATCAGAGACATTTTAAAACATACTTTTTTTTAAAATAGTAACAAATGCAGTTTCTTTCCCTTTCTTCTCTATTCGAACCTACATTTTAGAATGAGCACCTAACTTTTCTGACGGACTGACTGACAGACTATTATATATTTTGTATTTATTGACGTTTCAAAAGCACCAAATTAGGGTTTAATTGAAATAAATGCTTTGACTTTGACTTGAGTTATAAACAGTATAACTAACTCGACTTTCTTTTACCTTAAAAAATAACTGGGGTGGATATACAATATTTATTAATAGAAACCAGTCAGGTTTCCGCACACCACCACTTTTTTTAGGGGGAAAATCGTTCAATAACTTCATCCATCTTGTTTGAGGCCAGAGGGAGTGTCAGACTCTTAATGCATAAAAATCACCCCGTTCAGAAGCAGGAGTCCTGCATCGAGTTGGAGCCCTAGTATTCTGCAAGGTTATCCCGGTGTTTTCCACAGATTCATTACTAAACCACCCCTAAGAGTTACATAGAGTGAAGTACCACCTACATACATAGTTCGATGAAAACTAAACTAAGAATTCTTAACAATTTGAAATAATTTGGTATCCAATGATAGCAAGAGATAACTCCCATACCTAAAAATAAATTAAACAGCTGTTGATGTATAAAGCTATACTATATTTTTTATGGCATAAGCCGGTAAACGAGCAGACGGATCACCTGATGGTAAGCAATCGGCTTCGCCCATTGACACCAGAGGCGTTACAAGTGCGTTACCGGCCTTTTGGGGATTAGGAATTTAAGGATCGTTGGGGATTCAGGAATTGGGGAGATTGGGGAAGGGGAGGGTAATTGGGCCTCCGTTAACCTCACTCACACGACGAAACACAACGCAAGCGTTGCTTCAAGTCGGTTTTCTGTGAGGCCGTGGTATCACTCCGATCGTGCCGAAGCATGGCTCTCCCACACTTCTACACACTATATATAGTCTCCACACCGTTACAATCGATCGACCTAGTCCCTTGTTTATACAACACCAATTCCGTCGATCGAAATCCTTAGCGGAAAAATAATTGAAGCGGCTGAAGAAATAAGACGCTCCTTCAGTTCAAGAGTGACCGTCACAGAGATTAGGAAGCGTGTGCGAGCATGTATTCATCATAGGAAAGGTCACTTTAAACAAAATTTTGTAAATAATTATGTTTTTGAAATTGCGCGTTTTCTTTTACACTTAACTCGATTATCACCGATTTATGAATTCAATTTTGAGAATATTATAATTTATTTAGTGTTTATGGGTAGCTAATGAACCAAGGAAGTTTTTATACTAGTTTGTACGCTTAGTGTAATATAATTTTTTAAGCTCAATGCAGTTTTCTATTGACCAAATTAGTGACGCAAAACAAAATTCATTTTTTAAAACGAATGATATTTCTGAAAATGTATTTATTTATTTATTTAAGTTTTATACAATAGCATAAGGAAGACTTAATGCTAACAGCATTTTCTGCCAGTCATCCTTTGGGTTGTGGAGAAATGTATGTGGTTGGTGGTAAGCTGCAAAAATGTTATGAGAGACAGTAGTAATTATCCAAATTAATAAAAGTATCAAAAGCATACATAAAATACGTAAACATAATCCTATATATATATATATAATAATATTAGTATTAATAATTTTTTATTAATAGATTGTCAATAAATTTAAACTAAAATCACTTAAACAAGTAGTTTTTTATTTATTGATGGTTTTGTTGTTAGATCGGGATTTTTTCACCAAAACAGAAAATGTTGAATATCTCAGAAATTAGCTACTTTCGGACCACAGAGCTCAGGGCTAATTTTTTAGGAAATTAGTTGTATTATCACCTCCCGATAGGGATACGTCGAGTTGTAATGATAGTTTTTTATACAGGATGACTTGTAAGTCACCGTAGTACTTCCTCCTTTTTTTAAAGTCGGTAATAAATTCTAATATATAAAAAAATGAATTTCCCTTAGTTAGTCTCGCTAATAAAACTCTAGAACGGCTGAACTGAAATGGCTAATTTTGATCTTGAAATATTTTTGAAAGACCAAGGAAGGTTTAAAGGCGAAAAAAGAATGTTTGAGGCAATACGAAGTTTGGCAGGTCAACTATTTTTGCAATAAATAATCATGTTGCTTAAATATTCATACATACATAAATACATAACTCCCATGGGGGTAGGCAGAGACTAGGGAACGTCAATTGCTACGATTCCTACATACCCACCACCCTTTATCAACATTCCCTACAATATGGTTGAGTTGGGCGGTGCTGGTGCACGTGTCACGATCGTGGCTGGGCGCCATAAACTGGGACTGGTCGGCTCCAGACTGTCTGATTTTAATGTCTTTAGGATTATATTCTTTTTCGATCTCTGACTGGATTTTGGTGTTACATCGTTCTCACACAATTAAACTAACAAAACTGTGTAACCAAAAATTGTATTGTGAACCTGGGTGCTTACTCTTGAAACCAATCTCAAAGTCAATGCAATTTCAATCCAATAAAATCTCGAATGCCATATGGCATTAAGTCCGCCTTATGTGCCATATTAAAATTGTGTACATTAAAGATTAAATAAATAAATAAATAAATAATCATGTCAATGTCAACACTATACATGATTTTGACTTTGACTTGACTTGACGTGTTCCGGCGTAAATTTGAGGTAGGACGTAATAAAATAAGGCAACATTTAGAATATTCTTATTCCATTTATTTACACATTTTTTTACATATTCAAATAGATATTTAAAAACAAAACAATAAAAATATAATAATAATAACTAATACTAAAATTCAAGCTACTAGCGCCCAGGACTCAAGAACTAACCACGTGGTTTGGATGGCCAGCCGCATCAGGAGAATGAAGCTATAAGTAATACACCTCTACCACAATGATAGACGAACATATCTCAAGTGCCAAATCAACTTTATATTTTATCTTCCACATTTTTTGTGAGAAAATTCGATGCTTAATTCAAAATTTTCTGACTAGTATTATCCTTGTTCACAGCTCGCTAGTCTGTGAATCACCAAATCAAGCTTATTGTTGAGGATACTTATAAATAATAAGTTCGGTCTAATATTATACATAAGGAATATCTTACAATCGAGGGGTGGTATTCCAAAACAATATGTTAACGCACAATACCCTGCTGTATCTTGTGTAACTGAGTCCAAAAATCCAAACCTTAAGTTCAAGATATTTTTTTGGAAATTTTGCTTAAAACTGAACAACTATACTAATTCTAATTATCTTTTATTGTATTTTGCGTATGATATGATTGTATGTACATTGTATGTAACTGGAATGAATTGAAAAATTCTTAAGATACCAACTAAACAACCCGTTATATCTATTTTCAACTACAAATACCTAAATTACAATTATATAATGGCCTACTTTATATCGGTATATCCTGTTCAGGCGGGATCACTGAAACAATAAAAAAGCAAAATGAATAAACTATTAAGTAGTAACCTTGTTGTAATTGTGAATTAATCAAAGTAGGTAATTTGAATTTAATTATGCATTAAACCAAGTAAAGATGGGACGTCTAGGCCCCAGGAACGTATTGTTTTTTTCAAAATGGAAATTCGCGAATATACTATACTATCTGCCATCGCGTCTCAAGGTTTTCATACATGAAAGCCTTTTTTATGATATAAAAATGCAGGCCGCATATTTGTAATGAAATTTGTAATGAAAAATGACAATATGCATAGTACAATTAAATTCAAGTAAAGAGACATTGGGTGATCAGTGATGCTACACCTTTGACGATGACTGGACCCTCTTCTCTGTTTCTTCACCACATATTTTCCCCTTATGCCTGGTTGCGGACACCCCCTAAGGTAAGATTTCCAATTTTAGTTTGACATAATCCTGCTTTTACTACACTAAATCAAGTAAACTAATTGCAGTTCTGAACCAGTCTGAAAAAGTTGTTTAAATTGACAAAAAAAAATCATAGTCAATATTTCATGATCTCATGGTACATTATAACGTGGCAATTACAAACCGTAGTGCCGATCAAAGTCCCAATATATCTGCTCAACATACTTATGCAAACTTTTTGATAATAGTAATTGAATCACATACCAAATGATCGTGTTTTGTAGTGGTCGTATCCCTTTTTAGACGCAAAAGCAACGAGCAACCCGGCACCAAAAGAACAAAACAATATTATTAGCAGCGTTGTCAACGAATACTTGTTCGGATCCTCGCTAATTGTCAAAGGCTTTGCGTTTCCATCGCTGAAAAAAATAAATATTCACTTTAACTTCTTCAACAATAGTACTTTTAAATCATATAAAAACAAGCTGTTTTAGTTGACACAGCTTGTTTTAATACGGTACTTACTTCCTTCTGACGGTTGTACCATTGCGTGCTTTACCATGGCCTGACTTAGTTTTGTCATCTGTACTATTGCCCGCTGCGCCATGGCCTGGATCTGTTGCTATTGATGACTTAGTTTTGTCATCTGTACTATTGCCCGCTGCGCCATGGCCTGGATCTGTTGCTACTGATGACTTAGTTTTGTCATCTGTATTATTGCCCGCTGCACCATGGCCAGGATCTGTTGATACTGATGACTTAGTTTTGTCATCTGTACTATTGCCCGCTGTGCCATGGCCTGGATCTGTTGCTACTGATGACTTAGTTTTGTCATCTGTACTATTGCCCACTGCGCCATGGCCTGGATCTGTTGCTACTGATGACTTAGTTTTGTCATCTGTACTATTGCCCGCTGCGCCATGGCCTGGATCTGTTGGTACTGATGACTTAGTTTTATCATCTGTACTATTGCCCGCTGCGCCATGGCCTGGATCTGTTGGTACTGATGACTTAGTTTTATCATCTGTACTATTGCCCACTGCGCCATGGCCTGGATCTGTTGCTACTGATGACTTAGTTTTGTCATCTGTACTATTGCCCGCTGCGCCATGGCCTGAATCTGTTGCTACTGATGACTTAGTTTTGTCATCTGTACTATTGCCCGCTGCGCCATGGCCTGGATCTGTTGCTACTGATGACTTAGTTTTGTCATCTGTACTATTGCCTGCTGCGCCATGGCCTGGATCTGTTGCTACTGATGACTTAGTTTTGTCATCTGTACTATTGCCCGCTGCGCCATGGCCTGGATCTGTTGCTACTGATGACTTAGTTTTGTCATCTGTACTATTGCCCGCTGCGCCATGGCCTGGACTGTTGCTACTGATGACTTAGTTTTGTCATCTGTACTATTGCCTGCTGCGCCATGGCCTGGATCTGTTGCTACTGATGACTTAGTTTTGTCATCTGTACTATTGCCCGCTGCGCCATGGCCTGGATCTGTTGCTACTGATGACTTAGTTTTGTCATCTGTACTATTGCCCGCTGCGCCATGGCCTGGATCTGTTGCTACTGATGACTTAGTTTTGTCATCTGTACTATTGCCCGCTGCGCCATGGCCTGGATTTGTTGCTACTGATGACTTAGTTTTGTCATCTGTACTATTGTGCGCTGCGCCATGGCTTAGATCTGTTGATATTGATGACTTAGTTTTGTCATCTGTACTATTTCCCGCTGCACCATGGCCTATGACTGACTTAGTTTCCTTAGATATAATATTTCTGTACAACAAAAATGTAAATAAATACTTTTGTTATTTTAACAACAAATTAAAAATAAATACACAAATAACTCGAGTGTTCAAAAATTTAGAAGCACCAAATGAACTTACTTGAAACCTTCGCAAAATTGATCAATGTTGTTTTTCCTGAAACAAATGTTTAACCATTATTGCAGCCATTACAGCTAATTAGAACCCAAGAATAGACTTTGAATCTAACCATAACATATTCTTAGCTATTTGTAAGTCTTTTTTTTAAACGTTGCCCCACACTAGGATTATCTCCTGTGTCGTGGGTGCGTTTACAAACATGCAAGTTCACATACACATGACACCCAGACCCGAAACAACAAATTGTGGATCACACAAAGTGTTGTTCTGTGCGGGAATCGAACCCACGAAACGTTGCACGGCAGCCGGTTGCCCAGCCACCGCACCAACCGTGCAGTCTAAGTTAATCTAAGTTGTCACCACCACCTATATTATATTAGCCACAAGACGGCTACTTCCCAGAAAAGCAGAATACCTACATTTATATAATTGCAAGTTTTTCCCACGGATGTCGAAAGCGGCGAACAAGGGACTACACATTTGAAAGAGACCGCGCAGCGCAGCTCTGTGACAACACATGAACCTTTCTAATCTGGCTCGCCAACTCATCTACCAAATGTAACGAGAGTTGGCAAACCATAATTTATACAGGAATAAGGTAGGTCTATACTCTTAACGACAGCTCTTTACTGAAAGTAAATGTATTATACCGTGTGATTTTTAGTCGTCTTACAAAAAGTATTTATGAAATTTTAATAATCACTACATAGTATATAAAACAAAATTGCTATCTATCGTCTGTCTGTCCCTATGTATGCTTAGATCTTTAAAACTACGCAACGGATTTTAATGCGGTTTTTTTAAACAGATAGAGTGATTCTTAAGGAAGGTTAATATGTATAAAACATGCATATTGCACCCGTGCGAAGCCAGGGTGAGTCGGTAGTTCATAAAAGTATCATTTAACACTATGACACGAGGCTATTTAATCTCATAGAAAAGGAAGATGGAATGATCTAATCCACTCGGGCGATGAGTATACTTTACAATTTAATACATAATTATTTATTTTTATTTTAACCTATTAATTATCATTACTAATGAAGAAAAAAATAAATAAAATCTTGCGCCCAGAGTTTTTATAACGTTGGAAACATTGTGTGGACCTCTTTTGTAAGATGAATAAAAAGCCACGGTGTATCACACTACCTAATATTATAAATGTGAAAGTTTCTTTGTTTGGATATTTGCCGTCAATCACGCTGAAACTACTGAACAGTTTTGTATATTTAGTATACTGGCAGGGTATGGGCTGGCTTAGATGATAGGATACTTTTTATCCTGATTAAATGCTCCCATGGGATAAAAAAAACAGGAATCATATTTTACGCGGACGAAATCGCGGGCAACAGCTAATACTTTATAAACGAATTATACTTACATAGGATCCCCTACTTTGTAGAACGGTAGATCTAGAGAACACTGAAATAATACAAGACTTTGAGAAAATACAAGATCACATTTGAGTACATAATTGTTAACAATATTCATTCACCTTTACGTATTCATTTGTAAAGGGCCCAAGGATATACAGGATGTCCACAAAGGCGACATGCAAATGGTGCCAGGTAATCGGCAAGGTTCCAACAGTTGTTCATACTTTTTAAATTACACTGACTTGTGTGTTATCAATGTTACACACGAAATTCCCTGTGCCAGTATTTTAACTATTGTTGTTACAAATCTTTATTTTTCGTCGGTCACCTGATTACTTGGTACCACTTGGACGTCAACTTCACGGACACCTGTATGCGAATACATTATCTCTACCCTGTATTCCAGGGTGTATATGACAAGTAAATATATGAAACAGAATATGCATCTTTGCACTATTTATTTTAAACAATAACGTTTATAATGTTACTCTAAACGTTAATCTAATTTAAAAATAACCAGTAATTAAATAATGGCATCATTAACAATCCTGTTATCGAAATGAGGAAATTTAATGCAGTAAACAGTAACTACGTAGGTAGTGTTGTGCATACTCGTAACATAATTTTAAAATTAGGTACTATGTTTCATGTTAAATATTCCCGTGCACTTGACTTAAATATTTGTTTACGAGCAGTGGGTGCGTTTGGTGATACATTTTTTTTATTAGCCACTGTACCGTGTAACACCCACTTTTCACTATTTTATGTCATGAATCCCATGTAATAGGGGGTGAGCCTATTGCCATATAACGGGCACAATTCCAGACTCCGTGCAACCATTGAGAATTTTTTAAAACCAAGTATATGACTTTGGCCGACCCGGGAATCGAACCCGAGATCCCTTAGTCGGCAGTCGCACTTGCTACCACTCGGCCAACGAGGCAATCACTATAGTTATAAATATAGTAATATATCAATTTTGTTTTTACTTAAGTTTTTAATCAATAAACTGAATTCTCGGAGAGAAGATAAAAATTGTAGTACTGTTATAGACTTGATTAAATGACTGTTAGAGCAATCTATCAAAGATTAACTATTTGCGACTGGCCATCGATGGCGAATTAATACGAGGCATCTTGTGAAAAGTCTCATAAAGATAAGATAAGTCTTATATAGATATACAAAAATCACGTACCTATTATCACAATTACAATACAATTCTATTTCATTTCATTATGTTTATAAAAAAATATTTCATAGATTAAATTAAATGAAAAATACTACACTTACTTTCTTCTGCTTTAACTGATTACTGAAAAAAAAAAACATTTTTATTATTCATTTTTTCAAAGACAAAATAAAATAATAGAAAATAATAAATTGTCTTATTTTCTCCATTTTATATCTATTTGATACTCAATTTTATTAATAGATACAATTGAGTATAACATAACGTCATCACGACTTTTGTCCCGAAGGGGTAGACAGAGGTGTACGTTATGCCACTGTATTGTACACTTTTCTCAATTTATGTTATGAGTCCCATGTAATAGGGGGTGAGTCTATTGCCATATACCGTGTACAATTCCAGACTCCGTGCTGTTACTGAGAATTTTTAAAAATCCCAATAATACTTTGCCAGACCCGGGAATCGAACCCGAGACCCCTTGCCCGGTAGTCGCACTTGCGACCACTCGGCCAACGAGATTCAATTGAGTATAATATTTGTAAAACTACCGGTACAATGTAGGTATCAACTTAACTAAATGTTTTCAAGGTTTTATGAAGTAAGAATATTAAAAATAAATTATTTACATGGAACAAGCGCAGATCATGTCAGCTGTCTCGTATCTGCAATAAATAATAAGTATAATGTAATAACACATAATAATGATAACTTAAGTACAAAAGAGCATATTAACTGGGATAGTTACACTTGGTATACAAATTTTTTTCGAAACTGGCAAGTACCAATATGACTTTTTTACAATTTATGTAGGTATAGAAATCTGACAAACGGTGAAGGAAAACATCGTAAGGAAACCTGGACTTATAATTTTTAATTATAAGTTTGAAATTGCCAACCCGCATTGGGCAATCGTGGTGATTAATGGTCAAACCTCCTCCGTGTGAGAAGACGCTTTGCTCAGCAGTGGCCACTTATAGGTGGCGTTATCCTTATCCTTACTAATATTATAAATCGGAAAGTGAGTTTGTTTGTTTGTTTGTTCCGACTTCACGCCGTAACTACTAAACCGATTGCATTGAATTTTTGCAGACGTAAAGTTAGTAGTCTGGATTAAATAATAGGGTACTTTTTATCCCGAAAAAAATTGATATTCCCGAGGGAAAACAAAAGTATTGGTATAGATGGCGCTGTATGTATTCGTATATGCCACATAGGCTACTTTTTATCCTTTTGTGACGCGAGCGAAGCCGCGGGTAAAAGCTAGTAACGTGAATAAAACAAAAAACTCACATTTTAGTCCAATCCTCATCCTCGACAACCTTATTCGCAGCAATGTAGTTAACTGCCTGTAATTAAAAAAAATGATGATGACGTCATAAACTTATCTGTGTAATGCTAAACTTCATGTAGATAAGCATACTACAAACTAAATTATTATTGTGTGAACAAAATGTTTGGAAGCAAATTGTTCTAAAATACCGTGATGTTTCATTGGATTCTTGCTTGAACGGAACTATAGTATTCATGTAATGAAAGAAAGAAACAATTTATTTGCACCGTTACAAAAATTAAACAAAAAAAAATAGAATACGGTGTATACTGTACTTGGTGCAAAAAGGTCATGATACAACCATGTACGCTGGCATTTTTGTTTTATGCGACAAGCCCGTCACAAACTCTCAAAATCGCTGCAACTCCTGTAAGCCAGGATCTACAGTAACTAGATGCAAACCATCAAAATACCGGAACACTGAAGTCCGGCGCGTCCCAGGAACATAATTGGTTCCCGCAATGAAATAAATCAGAAGATAATATTAGAGGAGAAGAAAAAAGCGACAGTTCCCACTTCTCACGATAAATTTAAAGCAGGAGACAGAATGACTTAAGCCTAAAGACACAAAGAGACTGCACAACTAGGAGAACCCCAGTCGTTAAGCACCACAGAAATTTGATTTAAAACTTAGTGGATCCTATGTGTGAACTGGGGGCTTACTCTTGAATTCAATTCCTATCGATTGGTATAGTAAAATTTCGTACTCTTGAGTTGCAACACTAGCGCCCATTACATCCGTATTGCGTGGATGTTTAATGAACTAAATGTTATTGGTTTGGCTTTATATTCCAAACTCTGAATGCTATTCTAACAGCTACGATTGGGGTTGTATAGTTTTGACATTGAATGATTATTTAGATTTTATTGGATTGAAATTGCATTGACATTGAGATTGGTTTCAAGTGTAAGCACGCTGTTGTACTTCCTTTCAATAATAGATATAGCAAAAACGTCTGTTCTGTGCTTTATTTCAAAAGATTTGTAGAACAAACTAAACCTGACGAAACAATTAAATTATCCAACATAGTACTTGTTCATATTGCCAGAGACCACACTCGTAAGGTATATGATGAGCGGACTGCTCATATTGCAACCAAGTTTCAATTTTACCGAACCGTAAATGAAGAATGTTTAGGTATATTTGTATACATTTGTTACTAGTAACTAAAAGGCCATGACTGCTCTAGAGCAGTCATGGCATACCTTTTAGTTTTAGTAGTAAAATTAGCCACCACGTTTTATCAAAGACTACATGTTTGTGTTCAGATGAATTTATCATGGTTCGGACAGAAAGAGCCACGTCGACAGTAGTTTTACCCAAAGTTAAACCGAGTTAATTGTGTATTCCGATATTACAATAAATGAGCAACGATAAGCCGCTCAAAGAGTTGCCCTAAACATACATACATAACGTCACGCCTTTTATCCCCGAAGGGATAGGCGGAGAATGCACATTATGCCACTGTACAATGTAACACCCACTTTTCACTATTTATGTTATTTATTTATCCTAAAACGCAATAAGTGGGTGCTTTATTGGTTAAATTTTTTAATTCATGCTTCCAACACGCGGATTTTTATTGCATCGTAGAGCGTATAAACATAATTTCACAGACGCGTCATACCTAAATCCGGATTTCTTTGTTTGGTTCCATCATCAGGTCGATTTCATAGACCTTTATTAAATTATAATGCTTTAGAATAATTAATGAAAAAAATAACAAATGCACTCTAATGTCTTCTTACAATTTTTGAAAGAATGTCCCTGAGACCTCTTCATCAGATTGTGGGCGTAAATATTAGTGGGCTTACAGAAAGAATCGATGAACATACATAAATAAACAAGTACCCGAACTTAGCACCTCCTCCTTTTTTAAAGTCAGTCAAAGCCAAAGTCAAAGCATTTATTTCAACTAATCCTTGTTTAGGCACTTTTGAAACGTCAATCTGAATTAGAAAATAGATCGATTTTCATAAACAAAGTTGTGAGAACATTTTTATCAATTTAAAATTAATAAGCTCACTTAATAGAACTTATTCTAATTCCATAACTATTTATATTACTTAACAAGAATCTTATTTTAAGGTAAACATTATCTGCACACTCACGAATTAATAAAAAAAATGTAAATTTGTAACGTGTATAGCACATAATATTGCACATAGCCTTATAAAATAAAACGAAAAAAAAAACTTACCAAAAGGGATATAAATAATATAAATTTGAAATCCGCCATTTTGGTGACACGAACGACCTCGCGGGTCGACGATGTATTACTAATTAAAACCCTAACGGTCACACCGTGGTGTGTGCAATGTTGGGACTCTGTGGACTAAAATACCTTTTATACAAGCCACAATATTTTCCTGAACTGATAAAATGTATTGTGTGCTTTTTTATCGTTTTTAGGGAATTACAGTATCCGTTGGTCTATTAGTTGCTAGTACGACTTTCAAGCTACAGACCATGTGGCAGAAGTAGAAAGTATAGACTCTAACTCATCAAGCCAGTCAATCTTTCTTCAGTGGATGTCGCACTCAAGTGCGCTAAACCTGCGATTGCATGCGCGGAAACACGTGCGGCATCCACAAGTTTTTTGTCAATCTAACTGACTGCTGCTAGCATATCAAATCCAGTCTTTCAACAATTCACACCGTGGGCGGTTTCCGACTGATAATGATGATTAATAAAATAATGTTTAACTCTAAGAAAAATAATTTGAAAAGTGTTTTTTTTTATACCACGACGGTGGCAAAAAAGCATACAGCCCACCTGATGGTAAGCGGTTACCGTGGCCCATGTACGCATGCAACACTTGGGGCATTACATGCGTCTTGCCGACCCTTAAGAAACCTATTCACTTCCCTCTGCTGATGAGTGATGCTCAATATCATAACATCGTTCATTGTAATCTCCAAAGATGTAGGTAGAAATGCAAATATTACAATAAGTGTGAGAGAGTCGTGCCTCGGCATGAATGATACTTCGACCGGAACGATACCACGGCCTCACAAAAACCAACGTGAAACAACGCTCGTTGTATGATCCTCCTCGTTGTATCCTCGTTGTATGAGGGAATTGGTCCTCCTGTACCTTAGGGTACAGACCAATTCCCTGATCGAAGTCTCCCTAATCTCCGAATCCCAATAATCCTCAAACTTCTATTTCCCAAAACACCGCCTCGGTAACTTCTCTGGTGTTTTGGGTGTCAATGGGCGGCACACATTGCTCACCATCAGGATCAGGGTAAGCGTCTACTCGGTTACTGACTATAAAAAATATTTTGCAGTTCATTGTATTTAGTTTAAGAAACAAAATTGTTTTCTTGTTTCTCTTCTCTTCTTCTTATACTGGTTAGCTACCTTGGTAGTGTGATAATATATTTTTGGTTATGTGAATAGGTAGTATTCATATTATTTTATTAGCTCTCCATTCATATTTCCTTGTTTAAAAAATTAAAAAATATAAAATGCAGTAGCCCACCAGTAACGGGAGAAATCACCGGTGGTCAGAGCTCTAGAGAGAAGAATTTCCGGAAAATACGCACTGTGTCCAGTACCTAGCCTGATTCACGTAAAATCAAACAGTTGAAGTTTGAGCCGCCGTATCAACGATTGAAAGACGATTTACACAGCTGAATACGCTTCGAATAATTCGCTACGAAATCGGAGTCGATCGAACTCGACTGATGTACGTGAATACGAAAAGGACTTAAACGATTAAGTCGCTACGATATCGCTACGGTTTTTATTAAGTGAATCGGGCTACAGAAGTAATGTTTTCTGCATCAGGCCTTTAAACTAGCCATCTAACATTACTAAGTACTTTTATATTCATTAAAATCGTATATTTTTGGTATCGTATATAGATATGTAAGTATGTATGAAAATAAGCACTTTTTTGACAGTATGAATAACTTTCTAGAATCCTACATTCTATTTAAAAGTATTTCCAGAGAAGAAAGACTTTTTTATTAACAAAAATATAGGTATATAGGTGTGTCATTTTTGGCTCTAAGCGTTTTGTTTGGTGTCCCCGGAACCTCAGTTTCAAGAATTTTCTATATAACTTTAGGGAATATAGCTGAATCAACAGCTAATATTGGTGATTTTGATGTCTGTTATCGACAAGTAATAGAATTTTTGTAGTTCATAAGTAAAAACAGCTTATTAATAAATATATTGTGTGTTATAACATTGGAGTTTATAAGAATAGCTCGAAAACATATTTGCCTAAGTTAATTAAACTGCTTCGTTGGCCGAGTAATCGCAAGTGCGACTACTAGGCAAGGGGTCTCAGGTTCGATTCCCGGGTCGGGCAAAATACTGTTGGATTTTAAATAATCTCAGTACTAAAGACTACGTGCAGTCTTTAAATGTACGGCAATAGGCTCACCCCTATCATACATGGGACTCATAACATAAATAGTGAAACGTGGGTGTTACATTGTACAGTGGCATTAGGTGCCGTAATGTGCTCCTCTGCCTTCCCCTTTGGAGATAAAAGACGTGATGTTATGTTATGTTATGTAATCTTCACCTGTTCCGAATTTCACCTCAAACCCTTCAACGGTTTTGCCGTGAAGGAGTAATAAACAAACAAAAAACATACGAACTTTTGCGTAATACAATCCTTACTAATATTATAAATCTGAACGTGAGTTTGTTTGTTTGTTCCACCTTCACGCCGTAACTACTCAACCGATTGCTTTGAATTTTTGCAGACGTAAAGTTAGAAGTCCGGATTAAATAATAGGGTACTTTTTAACCCGGAAAAATTGATATTCCCGAGGAAAAACAAAAGTATTGGTATAGATGGCGCTGTGTATTGGTATATGTCACATAGGCTACTTTTTATCCTTTTGTGATGCGAGCGAAGCCGCGGGTAAAAGCTAGTATGGATATATTTCTAAAAATAGTCATTTGTTTATTGTTTAGTGTTACATTTCAATCTTTTTCAATGTGGCACGCAACATTAATGACGTTTAGTTGACTCACAACATTCAGTATTCGCTAAACTAAACTACGGCTCGTTTATATATTAAATGATGGTAACTAATTTATATTTTATTATCTATCTACTATTTAATCTTATAGTCCTATCTACTACTTTATCTAATTATAGTAAATCATTGTGGCATGTGCAACATTTTTGAGATAATTAATATCATAACATCATAACATCACGCCTTTTATCCCCGAAGGGGTAGGCAGAGGTGCACATTATACCACTGTACAATGTAACACCCACTTTTCACTATTTATGTTATGAGTCCCATGTAATAGGGGGTGAGCCTATTGCCATATACCGGGCACAATTCCAGACTCCGTGCTATTACTGAGAATATTTAAAATCCCAGTAATACTTTGCCCGACCCGGGAATCGAACCCGAGACCCCTTGCCCGGCAGTCGCACTTACGACCACTCGGCCAACGAGGCAGATAATTAATATATACATTATAATATCTACGGCTCGTTTTGAGTAAGTGCAAAGAAATTTACATTTATTTAATTCCATCGAACAGGACTTGTAATTTTTATTTAGTTAAATACTATTTTTATTGACAGGTAGATTTAAAAATCAATCAATTCAATCATACATACCTACACATATAATTGGGAATTTTTGTATCATTTTTTTTGTGGCTAAAGTGATGGAGATGAAGTTGGGGTAGATTATGGTAATAGTAAGTAGTCTGGAGTACCACAACTAGGCTACTTTTATCCCACGAGAATACGGTCGAAGCACAAATGTAGGTATTTTATATAAAAAATACAATAACTATAATTACTTGAAACTAATTCATCAGCCATCCATCTTCTCACAAAATCTTACACATTCACGACATACATCCTTCCATCTGGCTGCGAACAAATCACACTCTGGTGCAGATGCCAAGAGAGCATTGATCATCGTTGATGCTCGAACAAGCGAAGAATTTAGCAAGCGGGACACCCAGTAAGGGGTGACATGTGGTTATAAGTGAATAGATTTATATTGAAATATTCTACCTGTGCTGATCGGACTGCCTCATTGGCCGAGTGGTCGCAAGTGCGACAGCCGGGCAAGGAGTGTTGGGTTAGATTCCCGGGTCGGGAAAAGTACACAGGGTTTTTTAAAAATCCCAGTAGTAGCACGGAGTCTGGAATAGTGCCCGGTATATGGCAATAGACTCACCCCCTATTACATGGATAGAGAAAAGTGGGTGTTACATTGTATAGTGGCTTTAAGTGCCGTAATGTGCAACTTTGTTTACCCCTTCGGGGAAAAAAGGCGTGATGTTATGTTATGTTACTGATCGGTACCGACCCATACTGATTTGTTTTCCGTACAGGCCTTGTTTCTTTATGTGAGCACCCTGAAACCCCTTACATGATAGTCATGCAAGCGCACACTATACTAACGAATGTGTCGCGGAGAACCTAACGAGTAACCGGGGCTCCGGCTCGACGTGCAGGAGAAGGAACGGGGTGGTTTTTAGTCAGTAAGAGTCTGACACTCCCTTCCGCCTCACCCAGGCGGGAGCAGTCATTCGATGATTTTCCCCCCTTAAAAAAAAAATGTATAGCAAATCTTAGTATATGATGTGATGTGTACATGACATTGTTCATATAAAAAGATGATTACATCAGGAGAATAATATTCAAGTACCCACCAATCACGTTAAACAGGGAAAACGTTAAATATGAAACACAGTATTACCTACATATATATTGGTTTCAGTTACAGGTTTCTAAATATAAACATGAAATAATAAATTGGTAGCTGTTGATAAATTCGTAAGGAAAATCCTTGACTGTGTTCGTTTTTATAATACGTACTTTGTACTTATACAGTACCTTATTAAATAGAGTTACAATAGTTATATTTTTTACTATTTACTAACTAATTAGTTATTCATATTCATATTCATATTAATTTAATCATTTGCAAACATGGGTACATAATATATAGGTGTTAACAAAGTTTATAGTTATGACCGTTTTGCTTGTTTAGCTTTATACATGTGTATACCTATAGGTAAATAGGTGTTTTGTTTTATTGTAAATCGTCCTTTAAACTGTCAAATACCAAGCGGTCACCGGTGACCGCGACCTATTGTTCTTTAATTGTGTCTATAAAACCGGTACTCGACGAGTTAAACGCAAACATTCCTAAGATATCCGTTTAAAACTCATGTGATTTGATTTAATTTTGACTGCAAAGGAAGACGTTGATTTATTTTATATACGGTTTATGTGTAGTCAAATTATATACACCTATTAACCTTTTGTTACGTCCTTTATTCATACCTACATATATACATATAACCGGACCATTTCTGGCTCCTTTTTTTGGAGGGTGGGGAAATCATCCAATGACTTCTCCCGCCTGGGTGAGGTGAGAGGGACTGTCAGACTCTTATTGACTGAACTGGAGCCCCGACAACCCGTTAAGCCCTCCGCGGCTCATTTCTGGTTATGCCACTTAAAATTATGAAATAAATAAATATATTCATGATTCAAAAATGCAATATACCTCTACTAAATATTTTTTAAGTAAGTAAAATTGATCTCATAAAGTTAGATGCCTGCACTAGGACAGTCGTGTATCGCCGGCGAAAGGAGCACTGTTCATCTTTTTATAGGAGGACATCTTATTTCTGTAAACACAAATACATACTTATCATTATGCAACAGTAAACAATATCATTATTTTAATATACATACATACATAACAATAATTCTCCGAAGGGTTAGGCAAAAATTTACAACAGAGTAAAAATTGACAATTCTAGTATTAAATACTATTAAGTATTCTATTATATATCTAGTATTAAATTCTAGATTAAATACTAGAATGGGGATGATGACAGGGTATGAAAATTAAAAATATAATTAGTCCGTAAGTTAGGTAATGAAAAAATATTAGACACGTATTTTTTTATTTTGTCGTATAATAAAACAATACTTAGATAAAACGAATCAAAGTTTAGGAGTGGGGGCTAAAACGTCATTCCTTAGTATAAAATGTACTGAGAAGTGACGTCACGCGACATTTCAAATCAATATATCTTCGAAACTATTCGTTTCTGTGAGAAAATAAAAAATACGTGTCTAATGGTTTTAAATAATCTATCAGACGGACATTAAAATAAAAATTAGTCGTCTACCCCATTAACTAGACTAGCAAAACAGGATAAGCTATACAGTACAATATTAATAGCTTCGGTTAAAAACCACACGATAACTAACTAATGATAAGGGAAGGAAATTTTAATATTACCCAGTTAACGCAAAAAATAATGAAGTCGATCTTATTATTATTAATTATTGTTATTATCACCTATTAAGAAGGGCATTTACACACCAGCGGAAAAGTAAAAACAATTGTTATTTTCTTTACAAATGTGAAAAGGGTTGTACATCTTCCTCTTCTTGTTCAAATGCCTACAAGTGACCATTATTAACCAAAGGCCTCTTCTCACACGGAGAAGGTTTGAACATTAATCACAACGCTTGCTCAATGCGGGTTGGAGATTTCAAAATTATAATTAGAAATTATAAGCATAGGTTTCCTCACGATGGTTTTCCTTCACTTGACGGTGGCATCTAAATAATCTTAGAAAATACATATAACTTGGAAAAAGTCTCTTTGGTTCTTGTCGTTGGTAGGTTTCCAGCCTGCATCCTCGTGCATGAGAAGCGGGCGTCTTAAACCTACTCGGCACACCATAACATACATATGTACATAGCTCGTCATAAACCGAAATCTGTTCTATTAAATTTAAATGGTTTATGATACATCTATTCAGATAAATATTTGAGTGTCTGTTGGTAATATTATAATAACCGGTTTTTACGTCATGCTTATAAATATGTATACATACGATACCCATACTAATATTCTTTTTACAATTTTTGTCTATCTGTCTGTCTGTACTGGCTAATCTCTGGAATGGCTGGCCTGATTTTGACAGGACTTTTATTGGCAGTTAGCTAATTTACTAAGGAGTATCATAATATGCTACTTATATTTTGGAAAATTGAAACAAAAATATGTTATTTCCTAAAATTCATATTCCAGCTAGTTAATGTATAAATATGTAATACAACACAAAATATCTTGCTTCTTCTAAGTTAAGCCGATGGTGATTTAATACTACCGTTTTATTTAACGTAATATTTATTCTTAGTGGGTTATTATTATAACTCTTACTAGTACATGTACAAAATCTTAACAATTTATTTTCATACTCTACAATACTTAAATTCGTAAAATTATGATTTGTTTGCCATGAAGTCAACTATAAATATAAAAATAAACACATAAGTTTCCTTGAATATAATTTGTGTGAATAATAATATTATAGGATTATCCCAGAATTCGCATTGTAACATTTAATTATACATTTTAGAACATAAACATTACTGAAAAATTTATTCACACACATATAAATAAATAAGTCTCGTAAATTTAATAATTAAACTGAAAATAAATTATGATTTCATATTGAAAGGATGATTGAATTTTCATATTAGAAAACAATAATAAATATTTGATTCTTAATTTAGTTCTTTGTTTTACATAAAATCACGCCTTTTATCCCCGAAGAGGTAGGCAGGTGTGCACATTACAGCACTTAATGACCATGTACAATGCAACACCCACTTTTCACTATTTATGTTATGAGTCCCATTTATTAGGGGGTGAGCCTATTGCCATATACCGGGCACATTTCTAGACTCCGTGCTACTACTGAGATTTTTTATAAAAACCCAGTAATACATTACCCGACCCGGGAATCGAACCCAAGACCCGCAGTCCTTTATTTTATTATACTAAAATATTTGTTGAAATAAGAATCCTCTTATTTCATCGTTTACAATGTCTGGGGTAGGCCTCCTTTTCGTCCTCCCCAGACAACGGGGCTGAGGATTTCCCACCTTGGCGTCACAAAAAAAGGCTTTTACTTTTAGTCTCTCTTCTCTTACTTCAGTTTTCAGTTAAAACTTCTTAGTAAAAGAACTTTAAACAAAATTATTAAGAGGTCTCATCTCAGTGAGGTTGACTTTGATAACGTTAATGATTGCCTCACCCGTCGAGTGGTTTTGAGTCCGAGTGTCCTGACTGAGTCAGGGTTGGACTTTGTTCCGGCACATTGGACTGGAATTTTCTATATTTACCTTTAATTTTTTTATGGGATAAGCCGGTAAACGAGCAGACTGACGCCCATGGACACCTGAACCACCAGCCAGAGGCATACAAGTAAGTTACCGGACTTTTGGAAATTGTGAAGGATAATTGGGCCTCCGGGAACCTCACTCACACGACGAAACACAACGCAAGCGTTGTTTCCACGTCGGTCTTCTGGTAGGACGTGGTATTGCTCCGGCCAATAATTACCATAAATACTTATAATTACCATAGTATAGTCTGTCAATGTTAGAGTTGTATTTATACAAGATTCATAGCAATAGGTTTGAAGAACGATCTATTATAGTGTTCAGAGGACTCATATCAAAAAGTGAATGTTGCACAGTGCCTAATTTTCCTTGTCTGGCTGGCTCACACCTTCGAGGAATACAAAACATTATCATGAGTTTTGGCTCGGTCCAAAATTAATAAGAAGGACGATGAGTGGAGGAGTAGCAGTAAAATGAAAGATGAAAAAATACACGGCATACGCAGACCAAATTATTTTAGTATTCAGTAACCCAAAGACATTTTTTTTTTAATAATCGTTCCCCTCATTAGGATTTTCTCCTGTGTCGTGGGTGCGTTTACAAACGTACAAGTTCACATACACAATGACACCCAGACTCGAAACAACAATTTGTGGATCACACAAAGTGTTGTTCCGTGCGGGAATCGAACCCGCGACACGTTGCACGGCAGCCGGTTGCCCAGCCACCGCACCAACCGTGCAGTCATTCTATTAGTCAGTTTATATTTAGTTCTATTATGTTTCTAGCCTGGGTTGCGGGTGAGACGAACCATATTCCGAGGCATAGGGCAGAAGTTCTATTAGGATGGTTTTTAGTCAGACAGAGTTTTATACTACCTCCCACTGTCCCATTCCACTCAGAGCAGAATTGTTTGATCATTTACATGATTACAAAATACAAGTCTTGTTGTGTTTTCAAAATAGACATGATTGATAAAAAACACACTCAATTTGTAGCTCACATCAGAAGAAATGTATCGTTTTAGCTAATCTAAATAAACAGTTTTAGCCTCGAGCATTACCATGTGACGTAGGGACGTTATCGATCCAATTAAAACTTAAATTATCTTCAGGAAACCGTTATTACACGTGTGGGATTGATATGAATCGAAATATAATTGTGAGTCGTTAGGCTGTTATTGATTATGATGTAACTAGCAACTGTAGCGCGGTTTCACTCGCCACACAGCTCCTATTAATTGTAGCATGATGCTTTTGCCTATAGTCTTCCTAGGTAGAAAGATTAATCCAACACAATCATTTTTAAATTTGAACAGTTAGCTTTTGAGATTAAAGCGAAAAACCAACAACAAACAAACAATCAAACAAACTCTTAAGCTATCTAATATTAATATAGATTCAAACAAATTTAACTGCAGTAGAGTTATTGTTTTATGTTATTGACATTGTACAAACGAGCGAGGTAGTTGAAACAAGTGGCCATAAAGAACAGTATACGTACTTATTATAAACTGAACTATAGAGGACACATTGCACTATTTAAAGTACCTAGTACTACGACAAGTCTACATAATTATTTACATCTCAAGTACTCTACATTAAGATGGGACGTAAAGTAAAGTTGACTGCGTTTGCCGTATTACTTTTGACGCAGATGTTTTATTTCTGCGAATGCTATTTAAGGGCAGGTGACCAGGGTGTTTGCTGGGAAGTCTTGACGACCTACGATTGGTAAGCTCTTTATTTTATTCATAACTAACTGATGCCCGCGACTTCGCCTGCGTGGATTACGGACTTCCTAAAAACTTCGACCCCTATTTCACTCCATAATGAGTAAAATTTCCTTAACTAAAAACACTTTTTGTTCATTTTTGTCAATATTCTGCGCAACTTTGTCTGCGTAGAATTTCATTATTGGACAGAATTCTTTTAGCCTATATGTTGCCTCGGTATATAGTTTCATTCTAGTTCCAAAGATTAGCCTGTGAAAACAGACAAACATATAAACAGATTTCTTTTATTTCAAAAATGAATTCTACTACTGTTATTTAGTCAGCTTGTTTAGATTTTTTTCGAAAATATCATTTATAAAGACACATTTAATGAAAAGTTTTAGTACTAATCGTGACAAATAGAGAATATCTTGTCTGTAGACTAATGTGAAAATGTTAACACTTATTTATGGACTTACAGTGCATAAATGTAATGCCCTCTCGACATACTCCTGTGAATGTCCTAAAATCCTCAAAACTCGTCACATAAAATATCTAGGCATCATTATTGATGACACACTCTCTTTCCGGCCACACATTGAGAGTTTGGTATCCAGGGTACGCAAACTGATGTTTGTATTTAAAATATTGCGAAAAATTGCCGATACTAAATTAATAACTCAAGTGTACATGGCACTACGTCAGTCCATTATCACTTATTGTATTACCTCATGGGGTGGTGTACCTAAAACCTCTATGCTGTCTTTGGAACGAGCACAGAGAGCAATATTAAAAGTAGCACACTCCTATCCTTTCCTGTTCCCCACAGAACAACTATACAAATCCTGTAAGGTACTAACTGTAAGGCAACTATACATAACGCAAGTAATATTGAAGCAACACACGCAGATCCCTTATGATACCAACACTGTAAAGAAGAGACGAAATGATATAGTTTGCAGTTCGCACTCGACCTCAAAATTTATGTACAGTAATAAATTCTATAGTTTTCTAGGACCCTACTTATATAACAGGCTAAATAAGCAACTTTGTATTTACAACTTGAATTGCTATCAATGCAAAAAACGTGTCAGCACATATTTGCAACAACTGACTTATGACCAGACCGAATTTTTGCTGACTGTATGTAAATAAAATTGGAAACAAATTAATTTATTAAGTGATTAGGTATTAGAGATATATAGGTATAATTTGAGTAATCAAATATTTAATATAAGAATGATTATATAATTATTGTTAATTAGACCTTAAGTTCTCTATGCTAAGCGGTTTTTATTGCCTGAGGTACAGGTTTCAAACCTAGTTCAGGCACATGGCATAACATAGCAATAAGAATATAGAATTAAGACATATGAAATTTCTGTTTATATTTTTTGAATAAATGATTTATTATTATTATTTATTTATTATTAATTAAACATAATGAACATTACTGTACAATACCAATAATAGACATGACTAAAATAATAATAAAAGATGAGATTAAGTATTTACAAAAAAATGTTACAAAGATTCCATTCAGAGAACAAATGGTTCTCTCATTTTTTATAGTTACGATTTATTTACCGACGAGCATACATGAAAAGATTGATGACTGCGACTGATAAAGCGAAAGAGGTATGTCGAAATAGTAGAAATTGGCGTTCCATAGTCTCTGCCTGGAGGCGAAGGTGCACGCACGCGTCTTCTCTCTACGGAGGCACGTCGCCGGGGCGCAACTCGGCTGCCGCGCCAGATTAGTGCATGGCGGAAAAAGCTCCAGCGCGATCTCATGGCGGAATGGCAGCAACGACTGTCGCCACCGAGGGCTGGGCGCTGCCATTGCAGCGGTAAGTCCCCTCTTTGAGGAGTGGCTTAGGAGATGCTCCGGCGTCCTCACCTACCGCCTGACGCAGATCCTCACCGGATATGGGAGCTTCGGGAGGTACCTGTGTCTGATAGGGCAGGAGGAAACGTGCGGGTGTCATCACTGTGAGAACCCCCCTGAGGACACGGTGGAACACACAGTAGGGGAATGACCTGCGTGGGCTGAGCACCGCCGTGCCCTCAGGAATGTGATCAGCGACGGCGACCTCTCGCGCCCGGCTCTAGTCCGGGTCATGATGCGGAGCGAGGGGTACTGGGATGCCGTCTCCTCCTTTTGCGAAGCGGTCATGCTAGCTAAGGAGGAGGCGGGGCGCATGAGGCAGCTAACCACTGCCTCCTCACAACCCAGCCGTCGCAAAGGACACTCCGGGCGTCTTGAATCGCGGGACGATTTCCGGCCACCGTAAGCGGGCCTGCGGACGACGAGCATGGGTAGCTCGCGCCCGATCAGAACCAGACCCGAGTGTGCGGCGCGTCGCGTTCCGCGCGCGCCTTAAAGAGCCATTAGACCACCACAGATGGGGCCCAATAAGGCTGATACCGATACGGAGCCGCGGAGAACTTAACCGTTACCGGGGCTCCGTCTCGAAGTGCAGGATTAGGAACGGGGTGGTTTTAGCCAGTAAGAGTCTGACACTCCCTCCCGCCTCACCCAGGTGGGGGAAATCATTGGATGACTTTCCCCTGTTAAAAAAAAATTGTCTCTGCCTACCCCCTTTTTATGTATGTACGTATGTATATTAAGTGTTGTGTATCTATTTGACTATTAAATTACCAAAAACAAAACAATATTAAAATTCTTACACTATTTGTGTGGTTCTTTAATAATTGTTCTAGATCTGGGTGTAACAAGCAGAGCAATAGTTGAGTCTGTAAACGCATGCACGATGATAGGAGAAAATCATTGTGTGAGGCAACTTTGAAAAATGATGAAGTAACTTAGAACAAATATTACGGTATAAAACAAAGTCGTCACCGCCGTCTATATGTCTCTATACTTAGATGTTTAAATTTAAGCAACAGATTGTGATTAGTTTTATATTTACGATGATTGACGAGTGATTGAAGAACAAAGTTTACTTGATAACTCAAATTTATTGTGTGCGAAGCTGCGGGCAAAAGCTTGTTCATAATATTCCTTGATTTACTACCATTTAACCGATTAATGAGCCTTAATATTCTTCTCAGTTTTTTCAGTAATTATTGATATTGATAACGATCCTTGAACTTCGTAGAATGTGTACGGATGTGGCCGGCGAAGCCGAACTTTGTTATAAATACATAATGCGGTCGCAGATAACATACTAACACTGGCCATTGTCATTGCGATTAAATTTTAAGGTCAGATGAATATATTATTTTAAAAAAAGCGTTGTCTCAAACTATGATTTGGTCTTCTATCATGGACACCTTTACTAACAGCTCACTTCATTCTGCTTATTTGCGATCTATACTACAAATATACCCTTTTTTTAAGAGGGGAAAGTCATCCTTTCTCCCGCCTTGGGTGAGCCGAGAGAGTGTCAAACTCTTTCTGGCTAAAAACCACCCCAATCCTATACCTGCTTACAGCCGGAGCCCCGGCAACCAAATAGGTTGTCCGCAGCTCCGGCCTTAAATATAGGTTTAGGTAGTGAATTAGAATTATGCATATAATAATATCTAACAGTATATAAAATTATATACCTATATGTAGTGCGTACAATTAAATGATGCTTTTTCTTTATTAGGTCCGATCCTTCCTATTCTTCGATCAAACTCGAAAAGGTACGTATCTAATATTTATCTATCTAATATTTATATTTTATAGTAAATGGTGAACCCATTATTCACTCGACAGTACTGATCACTGGCGCTTCTCTCTCAGCTTCAATTGCCGAGTCAGGGAAAATACAATAGTGTACATAAATTCGATTTTTTCGAAAATTTCTAAAATTATCATATTATTATATATTGGGGGTTAGTAATACCTAAAACCAGATTACCCCCTCAATCGAGTCGCAAGTTTGAGATTCGGATTCAATTTCCAGGTCAGACAAAGCGCTATTTAGTTTTCGATTTTTGTAACAGCAAGAAATTCGGTGTATGGCAATAAGCATAAACATCCGCTTGTTCCTATAAAACAAAATCAAAAACTGGATGCTACATACTTTAATACCACCTTATTCCTTGATTAAAAATAGAAAATGTGATGTTCTGTGAACTTATCGATACATTTACATTTTACAGGATGAAAGAGGATCCCACTACACTACTCTAGCATGCTGCAAGAACTATGAGTACGATGCAGAATTTAATCGATGTCTTCCAATATGCAGTACTCCTTGCATAAATGGGACCTGTATTGACGTGGACACCTGTATTTGTGATACCCCACTGATCCTGGTAGGTGGCAGCTGTATTATGCCCACTTGCACGAACTGTGAGCATGGAGACTGTACCGCACCAAACGTTTGCGAATGCCACCCTGGCTACATAAAATCTGAAGGCATCTGCAAAAAATTCTGCGACAACCCATGCATCAGTGGAGAGTGCGTAGGATACAATAAATGTAAATGCCATGACGGTTTCATGCTAGACCCCATTGATCCCCTTAAATGCATCCTTTGTGATAATAACCATGAACTAAAATGTACTGTCACCTGCCGTCATGGTTACTGCTCACCACCTACTGCTTGTTCCTGTGTGCCTAGGAAGAAGAGCTCGATATTTAATTTTTAAGTTTACTATAAATTATTTTATATTGATCTTTTGATTTATCAAATGTTGTAATGGAACGTCTTTTAAATTTAATTGTTCTAATTTTTCAGTCAAATACTTCAACCTGTGTTTGTTTTTAGTAAAGTGTATTAAAAAACTACTTAATGTGTTTTAACATCTTTGATGTTCAAAGTCAAAGTCGAAGTCAAAATCATTTATTTCAATTAGACCAGAAAAGGCACTTTTGAAAATCAACAAAAGAAATGCAAAGTGAAGCTATTTGCTTATTCCAAGGTGTAGTCCTATGGAGAAGAACGAACAAGAAACTCCATAGGTTACTCTTTTTCCATCAGGTTCACAATACAATTATCTAGTTACATAGTTTTGCTGTTTGGATTGTGCTTGTGTGAAGTAATGTAAGTTTATTCATAAAATCCACTAGCACTACTGAATTGGCTTACTGCCGCGTGGTAAGGGACGTCATGCATTCGTAAATGTTCTACAGTCGGTGGCGCTGTGGGCTGGGTCGTTCTGTTCCCTACAAAATGGTTGATCGTACCGACGCTGGCCAACATGTCATACCCGTGAACGGGTGCCTTCTGCTGGAGCAGGTCGGCTCGCTCATCGTACTGGTGGGCTGATCCAGTAGGGCTAGTGTAAGATAGTAAGATTATAATATTTAGGTAACAACATCAAGTACTTTGTGTAGTGTAATTAGTGGTTAGCGTTGTATGTAAGATCTTATAACAATTATTTGACCAGAAAAATAATGTAATTGTAATATGACAAGGGCACTGACACAAGTTGAGAAATACAATTTATTATTAATAAAAAATAATAAAACAAATATGTAGATTAAAACTGGTGACAAAAATCATGATGCTTTATTTGATAATATTGTTGAACCCGTGCCGAGATGTAACGCAGATCTACACGGGAGTGTGTTTTCTATTGTGTCTCATATCTCGTAGACAAGAGTATTTTTTTAAGGGGGAAAATCTTCGAATTACTGGTCCCGCCTGGGTGAGGCGGGAGGGAGTGTCAGACTCTTATTGACTAAAAACCACGCCGTTCCTTCTCATGCACGTCGAGCTGGAGCCCCGGCAACCCGTTAGGTTCTCCGCGATTAAAACGTAAATAGGCATACATATGAAAGACTAGCTGAACCCGCAACTACGTCTGCGTTTTTCTAAAATAAAAGTAGCCTACGTTACTCCTTAGTACATAGGCTACCTGCCAATAAAAGTCCCGTCAAAATAGGTCAAGCCATTTCATAGATTGTCCAGTACAGACAGTCAGAAAGACAACAATTGTAATTGTAAAAGTGTTGTGGTTCTTTCCTCAAAAGGCCACTACAGAAAGAACTTGCACGGTTCTCACACATAATCTTTTTATACATATTTGTCTGGACTTTAAAAGAGACAGACCTCTGAGTTTGTTTCGGCATTTCTTCTCAGAGTAGTCAGTTAGGAAATGTCGACCTCATCGTTCGCTTGATAAAATTGACGTGTAAAAGTGCTGCCTTGTAGCCTATTTGCAGAAATAAATTCATTTGTTTCACTTGTTATTTTGGTACCTATTTATATAGCGTATGTATATTGATATGCAGTAATAAGTCGTAGTAAATGCGGATATTTCCATATTATAGACAGACACATCATCGCTTACCACCAGGCTAGATAGAGATCAAACGTCGGCTCAACAAAAATAAAAAAGTCTCTCCATTTTCTCGAATAATCGACCCAGAAGATTAGATTTTGACATTGACAGATTTGAGACATTGACAGGTAAAGACGGTAACAGTTGTCACGTAGGCGCGGGAACCACTTTTGAAAAATCGTGTCTGCGGTCTGGGTGTACGAAGGTTACACCATGCTGAGCTTCCTGCGTTCCTAAGTTATATCTTGAACATTCTGTGAGTGTTAATTTTTCATGTCGCGTTAATTAAGACTCAAGAGTTATAAATAGTGACTAAAAATTGGTACATAGGTAGTCTAAAAGCAGAAGATGAACATGAAGCCTTTTTCGAAATCAGGAATTTCTTTAATATCTTACGGGAACGGGATAGAAGAAGATGGCGCGGATGCCAATAAAATTAATTCTCGAATTCGAGTTACGAAAATAAAATAAAAATAAAGAATCTCTATTCCAATATCAAGTAACAATAAGGGCTTGTCGTTTATTTATATCGAAATAATAGGTTTTTCAAAATAATACAATTGAATTCTATTGTAGCCTACAACTGTCCCTCTGTGGTAGAATATTGTAATATTGTCTATGTGTGTAATTTCATTTTCTTTCTCTTTGCCCAAAAGTCTGTGATGAATAAAATTGCGTGTTCGTTAAATATACATTGTTTTAATTATTGATATTAAGATTTCGATCCTGCTCATGACCTCTTTCCGATTGTCGTCCCATAGGATCATAAGAGTATATAATGTACACTTGTAGCTAATAAGTACAATCTTATGGCCTTTTGTAAAAAAAAAAATTCTGAAGTGGTAACAAACTAGTCTATGCAGTTTAGAAGAATATGCTATGAGCTGATCATGACAATATTCATCATCAACTTATAATACTTCCACTGCTGGGTAAAGAAGAAGAACAATCAATCAATAATCAATGTACATTCCTTCACTGAGTGGTCATTTCTCACACAGAAAAGGAACGTACATTGATTACCACGCTTGCTCAAGGCAGGTTGGTCATATATGTTCTGTGGGTCATATCCTCACTATATTAGATACATACATTGATTACGTAAATACCGTATAATAGCGCCCAAAATAAATCAAAGACAGGCTTATCAAAAACTGGTTTTATGTCTTATAATTACTTATCTATACTAAAAGCACCGAAGACTTCGATTACAGGTACATTCATTACAGTCTAACTTAGTCGAGTATTTTGTCGTATTAATCCGTCCGTCGTTTCATTTTCATCACCAGAATCTTCATCCATGGGTCCACCACTAGCTCTCTGATTGATCAGCGTATTAGGAACAGTGTAGACCACACTGCCTAAGCCAGAATCTGGAATTTATACAAAAAACAAATTAATACATACTATTACTGAAGCCACACAAAAAGAACCTGCAAAGAGGCTTGCAGTAATAAGAGGAGTTCAACTCTATTATTTGTTTCTTTATGAGATCGTAAGTAATCGACACCGTGGACGCCATTCATAGACACCCGCACGCTGCTCCTGAGGAATAACCCCTCTATGGTTCGAAACTAGTAGAGCTTTTCTCAGTATATTCACGTGAGTAACCCGCGATTTCAGTTAATGAAGTACACGTGCATTGCAAGCTTTTTAGAGAACGAAGGAATTGTACCTCTTTATGTTTTTTTATTTATTTTATTTTATTTGTCCATTTATTTCAAGTCTCGTAGGCCCATATTGAACACTATAAACTTATACATTAAAATCTATAAATACTATACATACATTTCAAACAAAATAATTACACAATGACTAGGTACTTAATAACTAGGCCACACGAATAGACGGCATCGTATGTCGCGCAGTGTCCGGTGGCTGACCTCGGAACCGTCGGTAGACTACCCCTCACGGCCAAAACTAATATTTTATTAAGGTTAGCAGATGTTTAGTCGGCACCCTGACTACAAAGGACTTGAAGTCCACTCTGTTTTGCTAATGCAGCTGCTCAACCTTCAGATGAAGCTTTGCCTTGATCTTGATGAACTCCACAATCTCCTCAACACGATTTAGGCGTCAAAAGAATGTAAGTATTCTGTCACGTCACGCTGCCGCGCCATCACTTTTCTATGAGACAGTAACAGAAAGTATGGCTCACCCACAGGTTCTTAGCCAGGCTTTTACTCTACTACTGGCTTTTCCCGACTGCAATTTTTTAATTTACCTTCTTTGTCTTTCCTTTCATAAGAACCTTATTCTGATTATAAACTAAATTCGGTCATATAGGGCACACAACAGGGAATAGCTATAAGGGTCGCCGTTACCGAAATTGGTAACTAGGATTACCCCTATTCTAATTATGACAAACGTAAAAAAAGAATTTGCGAAATCGGTGTAGCTATTCCGAGCTTTACCCTTAGCAATAGAAAATTTGCAAAAATCATGACAAGATACTCACTCTCGTGTGTCGGCTTGCTGGCCGTGTAGTCGTTCCTCTTATACCAAAGCCTCTGCATCACTACCACGACCAGAATGAGGAGTAGCAGACAAGCTCCACCGATCGCCATCAGAGTCATATTCATACCGGCCATTCTGAAATGTTAAAAGGAAATATGAGACTCTTAACTAATTAAACCCATAAATGTATCAGGATCTTGAGTCATCTATAATATTATCATCATCATCGACAGTCCGTGATAGCCACTGCTAGAGTATGGGCCTCGTCTACATACGAGGATTAGACGAGAGTCGTAGTTTAAAAGATCTGACAGGAACAGGACAGGAAGGCATTTTTTTTTCAGTCCAATGTCATTAAACATTAACTATACCTCTAATATAATGTCAAACATAAATCCAGATTCTTTGCTGCTGTAGAGGAGAATTTTGAATAGATGTCTAAAAACCTCAATATCTCCTTTTATTTCTCCAAGGACTATTAAGAGGCCTTATCGAATTTAACGACCACTTACCAGTGACCACAATATTATTTGTAAGATTTTAAATTGTAACCAGTTCGTTATTAAATACTTTAAATACGTACTTAACTTCGTCGGATGCTACCACCTCTGCCGGTACCTCCATATCATCACTTTTGAAGAAACATGGTCTCACGTTCAAGCATCGACACTCTTTCGTCACATTGTCGCATTTACCCTCGCAGTCCTCACATGGAACTCTATAATCAAATACAGAACATGTTAAAATTATCTGTAGATTTAAAGAAAATAATAGAATTACCTAATTTTAAGTTCCAATTTCCAAGAGAAGCCTCTACCTAATAACTCTATGTGAACTCCAAGCTACTAACTTCTGAAGAAGTAGTTTTTTAAATAAAAAAGAAATTAGTTTTTATTCCTCCCACATACCTACACTTACTTTCATTATTTTACTAAATTAATGCTTGAGAATTACTGATCAGTTTACTTACGGTTTCATAGGTATGCAACCCTCTGTATCGTTGTCGTATTCAAAGTCGAAGTCACACTGGCACTCTCCAGAGAACGGAGAGCAGTGCCCATTTTTGCAAGGTTCAATGCAAGGCTTGATACAAAAACTGTAATCTGTTACATCATGCACATAACCAACATTACATGTGCAGAAGTTGGGTGCTGAGCAGTGCCCATTAACACAGACTTTCGAGCAATAAGGCTCGCAAACACCGAACCTGTTATCATATCCATCATTGCAGCTGCAATTATTGGGTCCCACACATTCACCGTTTATACAGGGTGGTGAACATATTGGTGAACAGTGTCCATCCACGAGCTTGTATCCCTCGTGACACCGACATACCTCAGGCGCTACGCAGTCACCGTTGCTGCACGAGCTGCACTTTGGCTTACAGGTCAGGTCGATGTGTTCATATCCACTTTGGCAGACACAAGTGTTTGGCGAGATGCAGTCTCCATATTCGCACCCAACACACGTAGGCTTACATATCCAATTGTCTTTAGTTTTCTCATATCCTACGCTGCAGAAGCACTTGTTGTGTGCTACACAGGTACCGTTTACACAGGCGGGGTCACAGATCGGGATACAATTGTAAGGGTCGTTTGGATCGGGCCTGTAGCCGTCGTTACATTTACATTTGTTTGGTTCTACACATTTTCCGTGGACGCAGATATTGTCGCAAACTGGAACACAAGCGCCATTTAAATTGAGATAATTTTTGTGGCAGTGGCAGTCGTTGGGCGCCATGCAGTCCCCATGCTCGCAGTTGTCACAGGTGGAGGGGATGCAAATGGTGTTGTTGTAGAGTGTGAGCGGCGGCGTGCAGGCGCACTCGTTGACACCGACACAGGTGCCGTTGATGCAGGGGGAGTAGCACACCGGCAGACACTTGTCCTGGTCGCTGTCATACTCGTAGTTGGGGCAGCAAACGGTTTTCTGTAATAGAAATAATAATGGTATTAAACCTACTTGGTAAACACCTCGAACGTACATTTACTACAAATACTACAAGAATATACGTAATATAGACCTAGGTACAATCTACTTGAACAATATGTACAAACAATGACCATACCTGTACTTGTTGTCGCTTCCCCCTGGCCCTGGAAAAAATAAGATATGTATTAAGCAATGTGGATACTTACAAACATTCATAATTATGAACATTTAGTGTTAATACATTTAAACCACCAATAATTTTCGGAAATCAGTACCCAGGTGCAGGAAAAATAATATAAGCAAAAATCAAGGAAACTACAGAACCTGTGCTGTCAAGGTTGCTTGGAATTGAATGCAGTAATGCAACAGTGTAAAATAGCTTTAAACCTGGTAAGGTTACATTAATTCTTTACTCTAAAAGCTATCCAACAATAAAAACAGATTAGTAGGTACGACACCATGACGACAGGTAGGACATCCATTCTATATTCTAAAGTAACCACTCAGGCCAAAAGTTAAGAAAGAAAATGGAGTTATCGACGCCGCCCATGGAGACCCTAAACATCAGAGGAGATCAAGTGCGTGGCGGAACTTTTGGGGGTTGGAAATTTGAGAATTGGGAATCTGGATAAGAATTGGAGCTCCGGTAACCCCACTCACACGGCGAAATACAACGCAAGCTTTATTTCACGTCGATTTTCTATGAGGACTGCCTCGTTGGCCGAGTGGTCGCAAGTGCGACTGCCGGGCAAGGGGTCTCGGGTTCGATTCCCGGGTCGGGCAAAGTATTACTGGGTTTAAAAAAAATTCTCAGTAGTAGCACGGAGTCTGGAATTGTGCCCGGTATATGGCAATAGGCTCACCCCCTCTTACATGGGACTCATAACATAAATAGTGAAAAGTGGGTGTTACATTGTACAGTGGCATAATGTGCACCTCTGCCTACCCCTTCGGGGATAAAAGGCGTGATGTTATGTTATGTTTCTATGAGGCCGTGGTCGAACCGGTGAATTCGTGTTGAAGCATGTGGCTCCCACACTTAATTAGTGCCATATATCAATAAGTATATGACATTGGACTATATATCTAATAGCTCAGTGGCCGGATGTATGGCCCGTATGACACAACACATGATTTACTGTGAACATCCGCTATATATTAAGTTAACTAATATAAAATTATATAGAAAAATGAGTCACACACGTGCTCCAAACTATTGGATAAATTTAGACAAGTTAGGACATTTCTCCTAAAATAATACCAAAAAAGGCAACATTTTTTATACGTACTCATGTTATAAAACCCGCTAAAATATTGACGCTATATGCACACGAGACAATGGCTCAGCAAAGATTTAGCTTATTTTTCAATTCCTTTAAGGTCATTTATCATTATCATTAGGTGTATCACATCAGCCATCATTTCAACAACATCAGTTTGTAACCATCTAAAGTACCAATAATACTCAATACCAATAAAACTCCTTACTTATTAAATTATCATACCATGTTCGAAGTATTGTAAGACATAACATAACATCACGCCTTTTATCCCCAAAGGGTTAGACAGAGGTGTACATTATGCCACTGTACAATGTAACACTCACTTTTCACTATTTATGTTATGAATCCCATGTAATAGGGGGTGAGCCTATAGACATATACCGGGCACAATTCCAGAGTAATTGTAAGTAATTCTTTGCCCGACCCAGGAATCGAACCCAAGACCCTTTGCCCGGCAGTCGCACCACTCGGCCAACGAGCCAGTACTTTAAGATAAACATACTGAAAGAAAGCTTCAATGTGCACCACGAATACACATGGACACCAGTGCATCATTTGCACATAATATACGTCTTTTTTCACCTTTCATTTTGTTCTATCAAAACTTAGTACCGAACTCAACTTAAATAGAAAAAAGGCCAAAGGAATCTAAGTCTTACGTTGCTAACACTACCTATACACAAAAAAAAATCTGCATAATAAAGCTGCAAAGTATATTCTACACGTGCAAGAAACAACAAGAAACAAAAATATCTTTTAAAGAGCTTAAAACAAACAGAGAGCAAACTGTGTTTCAATCAAAAAGACAATATGGTCTTTCATGCAACAAATATTCCTCACAAAAATAAATTCATTATTTCGTTACATGAAAGAAACCCCTTGTTTTTTAAACCAGATAGTGTTAGTCACATAAATACAAAGCCGGTACTGTTGCCACAAAGTTCAAATCTTTGCCAATACCGGGAATGTCGAAAGTGAATTTCAATGTGTTTTTTATCTTACCAAGTTTGAAATAAGATATAAAATAGAGTGAAAGTGGTGTGTGAACGGAAGAGAGTTATAATTAGACATTGTAGTGGTGTATATGAACGTATTTAGTGATATTTATGATTGATTGATGAGTACGGGTGATGTAGTGCTAATATGTTATGTCCAGTGTATATGTATGAGTAACAGTATGATAACCAATCCGAAAGAAACATCCGGGAACTCGAGCCGACAACTGATGGTTATATTTTCAAATGTTTGTACATGAAGATTGAATCTCACACGCGTACGTACCAGGAGTACATAAAGATCTAGGATACTTTCAATCGGCTATGATACTGCTTGCAATGATAGTGTGACCACCTGATTTTCCTTACCTTAACTCGTTTTGTCGTAACTTCTTTAGGGCACATACTCTCTTATTTGAACTTATACACTCGGATAATTCACTAGGAAAATAAGTAACGGTTTGTATATTAATTGTGTGTCTGTATGTGTAGTGTATCACTTGTACCTACTCATTTTTGTATCGTTTTATAATAAGCATTTGTTTTGCATAGAATCTACAGAATAATCAGAATATATAATAACATTTCACGTTAAAATACAAGTTTAAATTGTATAAATGAATTATCAAGAAGTAATGTACTACGTCATCAATATTACATAAAAACAAAGTTATATTAAGAACAAAAGTAAATATCTTACGGAACAATTTCTTCGCAAACACCTGTATCACCTCTTTTTAAAGATGCACAAAACTCAAATAACTGTAAAGTTATTATGAATAGTAGCACAACACGACCGGCCCTTGGTTCGAACATGTTCGTCACATAGGTAATACTAATTAACGCCAATGGTTTCTATACAAATGCACGTTATTGGTATATTCCCGCTGTTTTATAACATTAACACGCGCAGAGAGGACAATGCGCAATGTGTGATAACAACTCAATAAGCACTTCCCTTCACAAGTAGTAGCTCACTGTCGGACAGTGACTACATATTACCTAAACTTTGATTCAACTTCAGCAACACGCCGTATATCACAAAAATCTATCAACTACAAAACTAAAAAAATAAAAACAAGCTCCTAATTAAAGCTTTAAATTTCAAACTATACAGGATGATTGTTATTTCGCAGTGACGTTGCCGTGTGATTGGCTGAATGTGTTAGATGCGCGCGCACGACGAAAGCTCACGAGTATGTCGCGGTAAAGTCTTGATGTCGTTTAGTTGAACATCTTAATGCGGTGTGCGAATGACGAACAATGCCATTTTGCATAACGTTGGACAGTTTTATAGACGTCCGGCGCTTCGTAATAAATTTTCGTCGTGACGTCGTTCGGGATGGGAATACATAATTACAAATTCAAACTCGATATTAGTAAAATGTAAACGCACAGTGTACACAATTGTGTGAGGTTGGGAACTATATGTCACGTTTGCTCGCCGCCACGGCAAATGATACTGTGGTTTTAAACAGACGAATTGAATTAATATTCTTATCAGTCTTTACTTCAGTTGTGTATGTAAATATTATGTGTATATTTATGACACACTGTCCATTTTATATTTGAAGTGGTTCAATTATTCATAGCCAAACTGCAGCGTCTACAATGCCCAATTAAACCTCATAAAACTAATTACAATCAAAACAAAACATTGTACGTTGCGATACTTATGAATTATGCATGAAATTAGTTGGTATCGTGTATCGACAAGTAAGCGATCCTTCTTGAGAAGTAACTATGTAACGATTTTATGTGACTCGTTATTATCGTATCTACCTTATGACTACATTAGTTTTAGATCTTCAAAAGTGGTGCCCATATTGTTTAGGTCATTACAATTACAAAAGGAATTTAGTAAGATACGTAAGCTTCAAATGCAACTATGTTATTCTTTCCTCATCCACACTCAGACATTAATGTTTACAAAGTTAATTATTGGGCCACAATTTACATTATCCTCCAGCTTGTGCCATAAATTAGTCAATTTAATAAAAATTTAATTCCTCCATCATTTTGATTGGAAAAATCTTTGAGTATTCGTGATAGACTGGTAGCTAATAGACTTTGCTACATGTAAGCCAAAGGAAAGTCTCAAAGATCTATGGCACGTTATAAATTCCTAATTTGAGATTCTTATAACATTTTTCATAAGACCTCGTATTCAGAAATTGCATTAACAGCCAGTCCAAGCCACAAATTATAATAATAACCACTAAATCGTGATCTTTACACCAAAATATAACCATAATAAATTCTGATAACTATCGTGAGACATACTAAATTAACTAAAATCGCGGGCTGCGCACGTGAATATACTGAGAAAAGCTCTACTAGTTTCGAACCACAGAGGGGTTCTTCCTCATGAGCAGCGTGCGCGGTCGCGGCGACGTCGCGCTTGAGACTAGTAGAGCTTTTCTCAGTATATTCACGTGAGTAACCCGCGATTTTAGTAAATATAATACATTCTCCTCGCCCCCCCTCTGTGCCTCGAAACTAGTACACTTTTTCTCAGTATATTTACGTGAGTAACCCTCGATTTTTAGTTAATTTACTTCATAATAAATTAATCTACAAATAATAATATAGAGCAGCCTGTATCTAGCATTTTGGTATCAATGCAACAACAATAACGACTTCCTCGTTAACTAATTATTATAACGTGTGACTACGTTTAATTTAATTAACTACCATCAAACCGAGGTAGAGAACCGACACACATATAGATTCTCAATCGTAAATAAACCTTAAGACGGATGTACCTGTTACACAATAAGGACAACTACAATTAGACAAATTCTTTACCTGTTTTGAAATATCAAAATAAAATGGTAGGAGAAGGTGCGTGTCTAGTGATAATTTATGTTTATTTCTCATTACCTAAAAAAACTAACGAAGTTTCAAATTAAACATTTATAATAACTCGTACAGCCATCACATCAGCCCAAATAATTGGATTAATTTCTCAGTTAAACAAGTATTTGTAAAAGTGTCAGCCGACTTGACAACACAGTCATTGCACGTCTCATATCAACATTCAATCTTTCATATATTGCATAGCTAACTGAAAAAATATACATAGATATACAGCTACCTATACAAATATGTTTACCGAGCGATAATAGCGTGGACCTCTAATTAATCAATTAACTAACAAAGTTCACGGAATATTCCACTGAATTTATCTACAAAAAGGACAAATCTGTTCTAAAACATAACATCATACGTTTGTATTATGGAATAAGCAGATGGCCCTTTAACCTAGACTACAATCAGCCAAATAATTTGGTGTTCAGATTAATATTCTTTCAGATTCTTAATTTGAAGATTGATGCAGTACAGAAACACTAACCATTGGCTGCCGCGACATTAACCATTGATTGATTGGTTAACAATCAACCAAGGATTACAAAATATAATTATTAAATATTTAACATTTGTTTATTTGCATAAAAATAAAGTGTACAATTACATACACTAAAAGTGCATACAGGAAAACAATAATAAATTAAGTTGAGACCACGTTTGCCACAATTATAATTTCGGTAATAACCATGTTTATTTATTTAGTTCACTATAACAATAACGCGTGCATCTGCACTATTATGTATTTGTCCGTCTTTTCGTTCCCATGTCGTAACAAATGAATAGTGTATAGGAAGATTAAGAACCTTTAAATACTCCTTCATTGATCAAGAGGGTACCATAATTTATATTCCTCTTAGAGTATGCAGGAGCTGAATGCATTTAATTTTAAGCGAATAAAATCTATGAAATACATACAAGCATATTTGCCCTAAGAGGGTAGGCAAAAACTATACAGCAATACCTAATACGATTCTTACATATAGTCCGGTCAATTTAACCAAATTCCTACCAAGCTGATAATCTGTAAGATTGTCTAAAATATTTCCCCATCTTTCCCCTGTAAGGAAAAATTTTATTCAAGGTCATAGGTACAAAAAAGGAGACTTTCACGATTTTCAGCAAAACGGTAAGTTTTATCATAAATACCTCATACAAAAATAGTCGGCGCCATAAGTTCTATATATAATTCTTCATTAAAACCTTAATAGATACCTAATTTACAATTTTTTGGCCATTAAGTTATATCATTCTGATATGAGCTTATGACACCGACTTCTAACCTATCAGTAGGCGGGTAACCTATCAGTACTAATAATAGTTATTTTTTGCTTTTTAGGCTTGACTTTTTGTTTGTTATTAGTTTTTGGTTTTTTTTTTAAGTCGGTTTTTTAAACGCAGTTTTTATTTTATTATTTTATTATTTTCAGTGTAAAGCTACATAGATCCGTTTTGTCACTTATAATCTACATAGGTGCAAAGTTGTAATCAATAGAAATTATACAAGCCCAAATACAAGGCAGTTACTATAAACCGTTGAAGAGTTCCCTTAACAATTACACTTCTTCATCATCGGACCCTTAATGACAGTCCCACTCTATCTAGGTATAAAGTCCTCATCAATACAAATTAATCAAGAACAAATACAAGGTAGTTAATATAAACCGTTGAGGATAATTTAATTGTTTCGTCAGGTGTAGCTTATTATACGGACCTTGTGGAATCTAGAACAAATTTCCGTGCGTTTAGGCGTTTTTGCCATACCTATTATTGGAAGCAAGTATAACAATTTTTTAGTCAAATTTCCGTGGTGCTTGTCGACTGGGCTTCACCCAGTTGTACAGTCTCTTCTTTGTGCCTTTAGGCTTAATTCATTCTGTCTCCTGCAGAAATTCACCGAGGGAAGTGGAAACTATAGTTTTTTCTTCTCCTCTTATAATATCTTCTGATTCATTTCGTTGCGGGAACCAAGACAGTTACTCATGTCCCTGGGACGCGCCGGACTTCAGTGTTCCGGTGTTTTCATGGTTGTATCTACTGTAGATCCTGGCTTACAGGAGTTGCAGCGCTTTTGGGAGGTTGTGGCGGGCTTGTCCCATTTAACAAACCGTTGAGGAGTTCTCTCGACTGTCTGTCGGCTCCATCATCAAGTCGACTCCAGATCCTTATCAAATTGTAGTGTTTAAAAATCCTAATTGAAAAACATAATAAAGACATAATAGACGCATTACTTGCCCCTACAATTTTCGAAAGTTCCTCTCGGTTTCCCTAGGATTCCATCATCAGATCCTGACCTCATGGAAATGGGGCCATCTCGGGAGTATACCCTTTAAAACGAAACAAGAATTTTGGAAATCGGTTCAAAAATAGCGGAGTAATGGGCGAACAAACAAAAAAAAACAATCAACCAAACATAACCTGCATATTATCTCCTCCTTTTTTGAAGTCTGTAAAAATGTATTGATACTTTTTCTACAAGCGACCGTTTTTGAGATATAACGATTCAAAAAGTTGTAATCGACATAGCACACGTTTCCGCACCAATATCATTTAGTTCTTTCAATATCCACGCAATAGACGCTAATGTTGCAACTCAAGAATACGGAAATACACTATATCAATGTTGTCGATCGATCGGAATTGGATTCAAGAGTAATCCTTCAGATCCTAGATGATACGGCAATATCGGATCGAAATTGCCACGTGTAGGCTATACCTATTGGTAATCGGTATAAAATATAGAATACATCAGACTTGCAAAAACTACACCCTGTTTTTTTAAAAAAAGAGGTGGTAGAAAAAGTCTAATGAACAGCAATAGAGGTCGTTTAAATCCTCTGCTTGCGTCGGAGAATGAAAAAAACCACTTCTTCACTATATTGCATTCAAAAACCACGTTTTTTCAATTTTGTATGGAATGTTCCCGAACGTGCTAATACATAATTATTATTATAGGTAATAATACTGCAGTATGGCTAAAATTATTTTTCTCCTAAGTAGATATAAATATTTGCACAGGACACAACATGACACTATTACTCATAATGAAATAATAAATATGATTTATTACAGTAAATAGGCCACCAAAGAGCGGTTTTAAAATGTAAAAATATAATTTAAAAGTAAACTAGACGCATTTTATATAGCGCTACTTTAAAAAGAAACATCAGAACTAACTCAGAGGGTGATTTGAATATCCGTTTACCATTAAAAAAATGGGAGATCTGCGCATGTTATAAGAATGTATTACAAATACCTAGGGTACACTTACGATAGTAACGGTCCCACGTTTGATTGGTATATTACCAAACAATCTTATTTTCTGACGAGTTAAAGATGATACTGAACTATCTATAAAACTGTCCCACTAATAAACAAAGTAGTTCAAACACATTCAGCTATCACTTTTGGTAACATCACAATAATATTTAACTCTACCACGAAAGAACTATCTATGAAGAACGCACCAAAACATAAAAATAATTAATTTTTCATTAAAAATAATTACTGTGTAACAATATCTAAGTAAGTGTAATATATTGTGTAAAAGTATTGTGTATTTGTTTAAATTCTGTGCAAAATTATTAGCTCCAGTTTGCACCAGTTTCGAGGTAATACTGCGTATCGGTAAGTGGGTATCACCAAGTTATCGAGCCAAAATAAGGATAAATCAGGCTTATTTTAGGACTCTTGTTCCTCTGGCCATTAACCTGAATATAATGTTGGGTTCTGTATACATATACGAATATTATGTTGATCAAAAATTCTACTGATATTATAAATATGAAAGTGTCTGATTTGCTCATTCATGAATGAAAGTACTGGAAAGATTTGGAGAAAATTTAATACAGGGATGAATTATGATGTTGAATATGAGGAATACGCTGTTTTCTTGAAGGTTTGACGGTCGTATCGGTTCGGAAATACCGCCGACGACAGATCATTCCACAGTTTTGCTGTGCGAGGCAGAAAGCTACGTGAGAAGCGCACAGTTGTGGCCGGCCAACCATCTATATGATGGGGATGCTTATGCTGCCGTGAAGCGAAAAGATGGCGATGGCGAAAAGATGCGGCACGTATCAGGTATCAGGTCAATTCCTCAGAGCACTCCCTGTGGTATAAGCGATAGAAAATGCACAATAAAGCTACATCTCTACGCATTGCCAAAGTGTCTAGCCTGTTTAAACCATACCGACATATCCAACAATCCGAACGGCACGCCGCTGAACGCGGCCCAGGGGAAGAAGCTGGTACTGGATATAATATATAGTATATATAATAGTGGTATATATGTATAAGAGTATAATATAATAGTAATATATATATAAGAGTATATCATAACAGTGACGGAGACATGTTTGACAATGGAACATAAAAATTCAGTGGAAGTGACTAACGACGAGTTTCACTTCAATATATATATGGACATCATGAGATGGGCCATCTGCCAAAATAACAAACTATTAGGTACAATTGAGCATTTGACATTGAACAATTAACATTCTGTCACTTGGGTGCTGAACAAAAAG